CACACACACACACACACACACATACACATGCATGCACCAACACACACACACACACACACATACACATGCATGCACCAACACACACACACACACATACACATGCATGCACCAACACACACACACACACACATACACATGCATGCACCAACACACACACACACACACACACACACACACACACACACACACCAACACACGTGTACACATGCGTACACACACACATATGCACCTCCATACACACGCACACACACATACACACACACACACATCAACACACGCATACACACATCGAAACACACATACACACACACATACAAATGCATGCACCAACACACACACACACACACACACACACACACCAACACGCGTGTACACATGCGTACACACACACATATGCACCTCCATACACACGCACACACACATACACACACACACACATCAACACACGCATACACACATCGAAACACACATACACACACACACAGACACACACACACAAACACATGCATGCACCAACACACACACATACACACACACACATGCATGCACCAACACACACACACACACACATCAACACACATGTACACACACACACACGTACACATGCATGCACCAACACACACACATACACACACATGCACCAACACACAAACATACACACTCATGCACCAACACACACACACACGCACACACACATCAACACATGCATACACACACACAAACACATGCATGCACCAACACACACACATACACACTCATGCACCAACACACACACACACGCACACACACATCAACACATGCATACACACACACAAACACATGCATGCACCAACACACACACATACACACACATGCACCAACACACACACATACACACTCATGCGCCAACACACACACACACACACACATCAACACACGCATACACACACACATGCATACACGCGTGCACACACATGTACACATGCATGCACCAACACACACACACGCACACACACATGCGCCAACACACACACACACACACACGCACACACACATCAACACACGCATACACACACACATGCATACACGCGTACACACACATGTATGCACCAACACACACACATCAACACACGCGTACACACACACACGCATACACATGCATGCACCAACACACACACATACACACTCATGCCCAACACACACACACACACACACATCAACACACACGCACACACACACGTATACAAGCATGCCCCAACACACACATGTGCACACACACACACGCACACATGATGCATACACACATGATGCATGCACACATGCATGCACCAACACACACACACGTATACACGCATGCACCAACACACACGCACGTGCACACATGATGCATGCACACACACACACACACATGCACGCACACACACACATACACACACACACATGCACGCACACACAGATCAGGTGATGAACAAACAGGAAGTCATGGAGTTAAGACAGAATTTTTTGATAACTGGAATAAAAAGTTGCAAATATTTAAAAATTAAACTGAATGTCAATTTTTTTACAATCTGAAAATGAAATGAAGTGAAAACTCAATTTTTATTTGAGTGAGTGGAGGTTGTGCCTGTTGAAGCAGCGCTCAGATGCAAAAGAACACAAACCGCCCACACAGCACATGCGTTAACACAGCTCGCCACCTATTTTCATATCAACGCACATCTTTCTTTTTATTTTCACACTTTCATCCACACATAATTACAAGGATTGTCAAAAAACTTGTTTTCCGTGTTTACGCTAGATGAAACTGAGCCGAGCTTCTCACCCTATCTCTAAGGGAGAGCCCAGTCATTTCAGCCGCTTGTATCTGCGATCTCGTTCTTTCGGTCACTACTTAAAGCTCGTGACCATAGGTGAGGGTAAGAACGTAGATCTACCGGTAAATCTAGAGCTTTGCCTTCCGGCTCATCTCTCTCTTCACCGCGACAGACAGTGGCGGCTCCAGACATGTTTTTCTGCAGGTGCTATGAAGGAGCCAGTCTTTTTATTGAGGGTGCTATGAAGGAAGTGGTCATGCGTACGTACCTATTGTTCTCTAAAACACCTTCAACACTAGCAGATACACATGCGTGCACAACACCTCGACAACACCTGAAACAATCATTAATATACATCATAAACATATGAACAATCGCTGACTTTTCCATGAAATCATAAACACATACAGCCACACAGAAAACCATCTATAGTGTTGCAAGGTTAGCTAACGTTAGCGTTAGCATTTCCAGCGGCTAAACCCTGGACTGCTGCGGCGGTTGAGGGTTGACTCTCTGAGATCACTTCCAAAGATTCATTCATTTCTGACTGAATCCGTGGAAATGTGGGCAACAAAAACCGATCCATTTTACCTCTAGCTCTACCTTTCACTCGTTCGCAGGTGGAAAATGAGGTCAAAGGTTAACACCAATTTCCTGTTTTTGGTTAGTTTACTATCTATATGATAATTTACTGATTATATTTGTTTTAAATATTATCACATCCACACGTTAAAATCAAATTGTAAACAAAAAAAAAAATCTAATTTTTACTTGGGGGTGCTATGGGGGTGCAATGACTAATCCAGGGGTAGCTATAACGCCCCCCTGGCGCCGCCACTGATGACAGACCGGTACAAACGCTCGCATCACTGCAGATGCAGCACCAATCCTCCTGTCGATCTCACGCTCCATCTTTCCCTCACTCGTGAACAAAACCCAAGATACTTGAACTCCTCCACTTGAGGCAGGACCTCATCCCTGACCCGGAGAAGGCTTTCTACCCTTTTCTGACTCAAGACCATGGTCTCAGATTTAGAGGAGCTGATTCTCATCCCAGCTGTTTCACACTCGGCTGAGAACTGCTCCAGTGAGAGCCGGAGATCACGTTCTGATGAAGCCAACAGCACCACATCATCTGCAAAAGCAGAGACCCGATCTTCAGGCCACCAAAATGGATGCCCTCATCACCTTGGCTGCACCTAGAAATCCTGTCCATAAAAGACAGAATCGGTGACAAAGGGCAGTCTTGGCAGAGTCCAACTCTCACCGGAAATGAGCTGGACTTACTACTGGCAATGCGGACCAAACTCTGACACTGGTTACACAGGGACCTAACAGCCCGGATCAGAGGGCCTGGTACTCCCATACTCCCCCCATACACAGGGCCTCTCAAGGGATGCGGTCCAACGCCTTCTCCAAATCCACAAACACATGTAGACTGGTTGGGCAAACTCCCACGCACCCTCCAGGACCTCCCTAAGGGTACAGAGCTGGTCCAGTGTTCCACGGCCTGGACGAAAACCACATTGCTCCTCCTGAATCCGAGGTTCGACAATCCGATGGACCCTCCTCTCCAGAACCCCTGAATAGACCTTACTAGGGAGGCTCAGGAATGTGATCCCTCTTTAGTTGGAACACACCCTGCGGTCCCCCTTTTTAAGTATGGCAACCCCCCCCCCCCCCCCCCCCCCCCCCCCCCACAGTTTGTCAGTCCAGTGGAACTGCCCCCGATGTCCACGCGGTATTGCAAAGCCGCGTCAGCCAACACAGCTCCACACCATCCATAGCTTTAAGGATCTTTGCACGGATCTCATCCACCCCCACAGAGGAGCTTTTTGACCACCTCAGTGACCTCAGCACCAGAGATTGGAGAGTCCAACTCAAAGTCCCCAGACTCTGCCTCCTCACTGGAAGACATGCCGGTGGGATTGAGGAGGTCTTTGAAGAACATGGTTTCCATTTATGTTTTTCTTCATAAGGAGTCTTTGGGTGAGAGTAAAATGACTGTTAAAAATGTTAAACACAAATCTGAAAACTGAAGAAAAATCTAATACAAAAAGCAACTGACTTAAAAGTATTTTCAGGATAAAAACAACTTTCAATTTTTATTTTATGTTTTTTTTTTTTTTTTTTTTACAGATTTGACATTCAGTTTTTACTTCTATGTTCGATTTCAACCTTTTGTCAAAGTGTCCAAATATTTTTACTGTCTCACTCCATGGAAAATCAATAACCAGTGACTGACCCTGATACTGGTCAAACTGTGACACATCACTGTGAGTGTTGATGGTTTACCTGTCCCTGTACAGGTGAGGGTGGGCGTGGGCAAAGAAATAAAGGCAGTGTTAGTGTGACGCTCAGGTAATAAATAAAAAGGTGAGTTTGATTTTCATTCCTAGGCATGCAGAAAGAATTAAGGACTTAGCTTAGTACTACAATACCCATAAACCTCAGCAGCTGATGGACAACCACGAGCCTCATTTATAAAGCGGCAACAATACGGTGCCGCCGGTGGGCAATAAAACATCTAAAGCCTTTTTGATTAAATTAAGTATTTTCATTAAATGTTCCCCGTAGATCTGAAATACCAGCAACCCCTGTGCACCACAGCACCATGCCGACATTATGCTCCAGCCTAGGTTTCCATCTCAGTTCTCATGATTACCCGTGAAAAACCTCTGATAATGTTTAATTATATGCATTCATCACATTGTTACGTGAGGCTGCATAACTGTACATCTGAGGTGGTTGTGTGCAGTACTGGAGCTCCACAGGGTACGGTGCTCTCACCCTTTCTTTTCACCATTTGCACCTTGGACTTCACCTACAACACCAGCAGCCGTCACCTCCAGATGATCTCAGATGACTCAGCCATTGTCAGCTGTGTGTCTGAGGCATCAACATATACATATATGGACAATGGGTTTCCATAGACCCCAATAACAAGTTTTTGAAGGGAAAATGGGAGGTGGCCACCACCGCCATTTTGACCGTGTCACGGGTTCCGTCAAGCCCAGACAATTCCACAAAAGGGAAGAGAGGAGGAGCTGAGGGTGGGGCTGTAAGGCTGGGATCAACTGATGACACCCGGTCGAACTAGCTACAAGCTAACCTGAAGCTAACCCTGGCTAACCCAAAGCTAAAGTGTTTTGTGTTTGTAAATTTTCTTTTTGCTGAACTTATGTAGAGTTTTAGTCAATTTTCTACACAAAGTTTTATAAATGAGGCTCCTGGTTTTTGATGGTTTCAAGCTGTGACCCCAGTGGTGAGGGGTTGTTTCTGCACCTTCAGTGCAGGATAAAGACCTGTGATTGGCTGACCTGCCGTTGTTGCAGCCCACACCCCACACACGGATGTTGATGATTGGTTGACGGTGGAGGAGGGTGTGGTCTAATGGGTCCATTAAAGTCAAGGTATCTTTCCTTAGAACCAGCATCATTTCCCGATTCTGCAAAGACAAAGAGAGCTGGTGAGAAACAACTTCCTGTCCTCCACGTTTTCATCGGGTTTGGGATGACATAACAGCTCATGATGCTGCAGTGCATTGTGGGAGGATCCAAACTCACAGAAAGAGCAAATAAAAATGTTTACTTGATTTTTCCAGTAAGAAACTAATGAAAATGAAATGATGCTTTAAGCTTTTTTTGCCTGACGAATCGTCCTCTTTACATAAAGACGGGAGTGGACATGTGGGACTGGTGAGACAGACAGGTGCGGCAACAGGTATGCCCCAGTAGACGGAGACATCATTCTCACCTCCCCCGAGGCGCCGGACCCGTCTCTCTGCTCAGAGCTGCTGCCATGAGACAGCTGCTGGATGACGTTACTGACGGCAAGGCTGCTCCGACCAGGCGACAGGTCCTCCTCCTCCACCTGCAGCCAACCGAGAGAGCGCACGGAGAAGCACTGCAGAGAGACAAGATCAGTCCGATTAGGGCTGGGGGCTGGGGGCTGGGGGGGGGGTTCTGAGTGGAGCCTCAGAAAAAAACGCTGTTGTAGGAGAAGCACAGGTTTACTGGAACTTTCTCTTTAATAATATTGTCACATAATAATAATAATAATATTACTACTAATAATAAAGCTATTACAACAATGATGATAATAACATTTGATGCTAATTAATAATAATACTACTAATAACAATTATTTTTAATAATAATAAAAACAATGATGACAATAATAAGGATACTAATACTAATTATAATTATTTTTAATAATAATAATTTCTCATAATAACAATTATATTTTATAATAATAATAACAACAATAATGATCGTCATCATCGTCTTCCTCCGCTTCTCCGGGTCGCGGGACAGCATCCGAACTAGGGAGCCCCAGACCGTCCTCTCCCCGGCCACCTCCACCAGCTCCTCCGGCACGACCCCAAGGTGTTCCCGGACCAGATTGGAGATGTAACCTCTCCAACGTGTCCTGGGTCGACCCGGGGGCCTTCTGCCGGCAGGACATGCCCGAAACACCTCCCCAGGGAGGCGTCAAGGAGGCATCCTGACCAGATGCCCAAACCACCTCAACTGGCTCCTTTCGATCCGGAGGAGCAGCGGTTCTACTCCGAGTCCCTCCCGAATGTCCGAGCTCCTCACCCTATCTCTAAGGCTGAGCCCGGCCACCCTACGGAGGAAACTCATTTCAGCCGCTTGTATCCGCGATCTCGTTCTTCCGGTCATTACCCAAAGCTCATGACCATAGGTGAGGATTGGGACGTAGATCGACCGGTAAATCGAGAGCCTGGCTTTCTGGCTCAGCTCCCTCTTCACCACGACAGATCGGCTCAGCGTCCGCATCACTGCAGACGTCGAACCAATCCGCCTGTCGATCTCCCGATCCCTCCTACCCTCACTCGTGAACAAGACCCTGAGATACTTAAACTCCTTCACTTGAGGTAGGACCTCTCCCCGACCCGGAGGTGGCAAGCCACCCTTTTCCGGTCGAGAACCATGGTCTCAGATTTGGAGGTGCTGATCCTCATCCCAGCCGCTTCACACTCGGCCGCGAACCTACCCAGCAAGAGCTGAAGGTCAGAGCTGGATGAAGCTAGGAGGACCACATCATCAGCAAAAAGCAGAGACGAGATTCTCCTGCCACCAAACTCGACACACTCCACACCACGGCTGTGCCTAGAAATTCTGTCCATAAAGGTAATGAACAGAACCGGTGACAAAGGGCAGCCCTGGCGGAGTCCAACCCTCACTGGGAACAGGTCCGACTTACTACCGGCTATGCGGACCAAACTCACGCTCCTCTGGTAAAGGGACTGAATGGCCCTTAACAGAAAGCCACCCACCCCATACTCCTGGAGCGTCCCCCACAGGGTGCCCCTGGGGACACGGTCATAAGCCTTCTCCAAATCCACAAAGCACATGTGGATTGGTTGGGCAAACTCCATGCCCCCTCCATCACCCTTGCAAGGGTATAGAGCTGGTCCACAGTTCCACGGCCAGGACGCTCCTCCTCAATCTGAGATTCAACTATCGATCGGACCCTCCTCTCCGGTACCTTGGAGTAGACCTTTCCAAGGAGGCTGAGGAGTGTGATCCCCCTATAGCTGGAACACACCCTCAGGTCACTCTTCTTAAAGATGGGGACCACCACCCCGGTCTGCCACAGGAACTGCCCCCGATGACCACGCAATGTTGCAGAGACGTGCCAACCACGACAGCCCTACAACATCCATATCCTTGAGATACCCAGGACAAACCTCATCCGCCCCCGAGGCTCCGCCGCTGTGTAGTTGTTTGACTACCTCAGCAACTTCTGCCCCCGAGATTGGACAGTCCATCCCCAGGTCTCCCGGCTCTGGTTCCTCCTCGGAATACGCATAGGTGGGATTGAGGAGCTCCTCAAAGTATTCCTTCCACCGCCCGACTATAGCCCCAGTTGACGTCAGCAGCTCCCCATCCCCACTGTAAACAGTGTGAGCGAGTTGCTGCCTTCCTCTCCTGAGGCGCCGGACAGTTTGCCAGAACCTCTTTGGAGCCGATCGATAGTCTTTCTACATGGCCTCACCAAACTCCTCCACGCCCGAGATTTTGCCTCGGCAACTGCCACTGCTGCACCCCGCTTGGCTATCCGGTACCTGCCTGCTGCCTCCGGAGACCCACAGACCAGCCACGCCCTGTAGGCCTCCTTCTTCAGCCTGACGGCAATAATGATAATAATGCTAATCATAATTAACACTACGGCTGCGCAGTGGCGCAGTGGTTAGAGCTGTTGCCTTGTAGCAAGAAGGTCTTGGGTTTAATTCCTGGCCTGGGGTCTTTCTGCATGTAGTTTTCATGTTCTTCCTGTGCATGCGTGGGTTCTCTCCGGGTACTCCGGCCTCTTCCCACAGTCCAAAAACATGACTGTTAGGTTGATTGGTCGGTCCAAATTGTCCTTAGGTGTGAGTGTGCATGCTTGATTGTTTGTCCTGTGTGTCTCTGTGTGTTCCCTGCGATAGACTGGCTCTCTGTCCAGGGTGTACCCCACCTGATTGCTTGTTGACCGCTGGAGATAGGCAACAGCCCCCCCGCCCCGACCCTGTGCGGACAAAGCGGGTTCAGAAAACGGATGGATGGATGGATAATTAACACTAATAGCAATAATTATTGTTATTGTTTTTGGTGGTGTTGGGGGGGGGGGGGGGGGGGGGGGGTTAATCATTACTGTAAGTAATTCTGGTTCACCTGCTGACTCACCTGTGAGTTGGGGTCACGGTTGGTCAGAAAGTCCTCGTGCCACAAAGACCTGGAGATGGCAGATATTCATTTGTGATCAGCAGTGTGTGTGTGTGTGTGTGTGTGTGTGTGTGTGTGTGTGTGTGTGTGTGTGTGTGTGTGTGTGTGTGTGTGTGTGTGTGTGTGTGTGTGTGTGTGTGTGTAAAACTCACTTGTCTGCTGCTCCCTCTGTTTCTATGGTGGTGGGAATATCATCCTCTGAGTCCTCCAGCTGAGAAACCACAGAAGAAGAGGTGAGTGAGTCAAAGCCCCCGAAACAGATTTACTTTTAGCACTGTCATAATATTATTAATAATAATAATTGTTATTAATAATTGTTATTATTAACAATAATAATAGTAATAGTAATAATTCTAATAATGATAATAATTAATTATAATAATAATCTTAATATCAATGATAATAATAACAATTTTCCTGAAAACTCTTTCAACCAAACTCAAGTTTATGGGTAGTCCCAATGACAACTGTAGGTAAGCTACAAGCAGGTAAGCTGGTCCCACATGTCCTCACCTGTGTTTTGTGAGGCTTTGATGTCCCAGTAAGGCAGGGGTGCTGCCACTGGGTGGTGCCGGTGGGAACGTGCCAGTAGTATGTTCCTGTGGAATCTTTGATGGTTCTCCAACCAGTTGGAAGTTCTGGGTCCAGGAGCAGGTTCTGGTCTGTCCAGATGTTGTCTAGAGGGACATAAAATATTTCAGTAGGAGTTTACCTTCCTGTTGGTGCCTCCTAGAGGCGATCAGATCCCAGCCTCCATCCTGGTTCTTCTTAGCATGATGGAAGCAGATGGATGCTCCTCCTCTCTCATGATGACATTCAATTCACACACACACACACTCACACCCGCAAGCACGCACACACGCACACACACACATAGTGTTTCTATGGTTATATTGTGATTTCTTAGTAAATATTCTATTTGGTGAGAGATAAACTTTATTGTATTTATCCTAGTGGATCTATAAGTAAACGGGTAAACTAGTAGTAGCACATCCAACGTCAAAGAGAGTAAAATGTTATTATCAGGAGAGGGAGAATGTTTAAGTGGTTAGCAGCACCAGGGCCGTGCAGAGACCTTTGAAGGAGCGAGTGCTCAAAGTTTAAAAAAAAAGAGCAAATTTTTAAAACATTCACAGTCCAACAAGTTTGAAAGTCCAGATAATAAGACCCTTGGGTTCAAACAACATAATATTTTTTAAGTTTTTAAAGCTGACTTATATCTAGAGATCTTACACCCACATGTTTGCCCCTGATCCCAGTCCAAGTTGTCCGATTTTTGTTTATTTTCCAACACTGAGTCCTGCTCTGATATTATGGAGCTAGGATTGGGACAATATTCAATGTAACTTGTACCAAGTTTTGTAACTTGGAACATGTTTCATGACACATATTTTGGAAGTCTGCTAGGTAAAAACCGAAAGTTTCATGTTTCTGAATGAATGTTTATTGTTACAAACTGAGTAGTAAATGTACAAAATAAAGGTTTGATTTTACAAAATAAAAAATACATGTACAAAATAAAAATTTCCTGTTACAAAACAAGAAATACAAGTACAAATTGAGAATTACAAGTTAGAAAACTAAAGTTACAAGTTACGAATCCAAAGTTACATGTCATGAAACATGTTCCAAGTTACAAAACTTGGTACAAGTTACACTGAATATTGTCCCAATCCTAGCTCCATATGATATCAGGTGGTGATACCATGCATGAAAAGGGAGAACACCCAAATGTCCTCCTGTCTGTTCGTTTAGCCTTAAAAAGCCACTCATTCATGAATTCATCATTCAAAATCCTTTATTGTCATTGCACAGGTGTGCACCCACATAGACGTATTAGAGACAGCCCACCTAACAGGTGTAAAATATAAGTCAAATAAGTGCGACCACAGGAAGTTATCCAGTGTGATCTACAGCTGTCAGCCGAGATCTTTTTGCTTTATCCAGTTCCATGATCTCCGTCTGAACCAGAGAGCTCTGCCACCAACCTCTGTCTCTCCTTATGACACACACGCACACCTCCATCGATTTCCATTTATCTTAGTGACCCCACTATCCTTAACCCATACCCCAACCATAACTAATACTGTTCCTAACCCTAACCTAAACTAAACCAAAAGTTAATTCACACCAAACCTCCAAAACTGAACTTTTAGGGTGCTAGGCGTTGCGTGGAGCAGCTAAATATCCCCACCGTGTACAAATGTCCACATAGTACAGGTTAAAGGTCAAATGTGTCCACTTAAAGCTATAAGACAAGCACACACACACACACACACCATTTCCAGAATACTGCAAATATGGCCATAAGTTTGCTTGATGCTGCTGATCCTGTAAAATGCAGCTTAAATGTAAAAAATAAAAGGAAACAGATTAGAAACGTTTACATTTAAATAGGAACTAAAACAGACTTGTGTAAACAGTTTAAACTCTGACCTGTGGTGTGAACCCGACTGCAGCAGGTCTGCAGTAATAACCCTCACTCAGTCATCGCAGCATTTCTGCCTGCACTATAAAGATCAATAAGCCACACAAAAGGTCTTACAATCTGAACATTTAATGAGCAAACATCACCTATTCTGCACCGATAAATTATATTTCCAGCTAAATGAATATTGATTTAAAGCTGGAAGGAAGCTGAATCTTCTAGTAAACTGTTGAGATTTCATGTTAGACAACGTGGCTGTGATCTGGCCCTCCTACTGACAGAAACAGCCTTCTGGGTCACCTGACTACCCAGGTGGATTTTCTGTGTGAGGTTTCCATCGTTTTATAAAGCTGCTGATGCAGATGACCAGATCGTCTCCTCCGTTTGGTTCCCCGCTCTCCCGCTGTGGTTGGCTCTGTTTCTTCTGTGAGGCTGGGTTCTCTATAGCGATGTTTGGAGTAACATCGTGTAACAGCCCGCCTCGTTGGAAAGCGCGTTGATGTGCTTTAAGGCCGTTGGGATTATTTTAATTTGATCAGCCATTCAGAAGTTCTAACGCGGAGAATCCAGAGTCAGAAACATCAACATCTGTAATTCTTTGTCATGTGGCTTTCTCTAACTTCACGTCAGAAGTCTCCATGTCTGCTTTTGTGTCTAAGACCTGACTCTGCATGTGGTATCCTCGGGCAAGATGCTGAAGCCGCGTCTGCTGCTGGTGGTCGGAGGGACCAGTGCTTCTTCTGGGCAGCTGCGGCTTTCAAGTAGCTCATCACCACCACTGCAGGGTAAAGCACTTTGGAGTAATCTGGCTCAGAAAGGTGCTGTACAAGCAGGTCATTTAAGTTTGTGTTTAGCAGACGCTTTTGTCCAAAGAGACTTTCAGGTGATGATGAAGCAGCAGGTTGTCCTTGAGGCTAACAACAAGCACTGATCAGTCAGTCCTAGGTGGCAGTGAGGCAGCATAATGAATCCTAGAGGGAAGTGAACATGGAGTGGACAGTAGAGAGGGGGACGGGTGCTGGTTTAGAAGATGCTCTCTGAAGAGCTGGGTCTTCAGGAGTTTCTCAACAAGGACGCCCTGTTCTGGTGGTGCTTGTTAGGTCATTCCACGTCTGTGGAACGACACGTGAAAAGAGTCGGGATCATCCTGAGCGTGGTGTAGGCGCTGCTAGCCGACAATCCTTCGATGGCCGGAGCGGCCGGGCCGTGATGTAAGCCTTTCATCGTTCTGACGGCCTCCAGATCAAGAACCTAGATCGGTCCACCCCTTTTCAGGCTGCTGGCGTTCCGTTTCTAGGCAGAGGAACAAGCAGCTTGGGTTGCAGTGAAAGTCTGAACAGGCAAGGATCAGTTCTGAATTATTAATGAGGTCGACACAGAACCTGCCAGATCGGCTGATGGAAATGATCCAATCAGAACCAGAGACAGGAGCGGCAGAAAGGGCGATGTTTCAGTCAAAAAGCCGAAGCTCCACATGTTCTAACATTAACCCAGATGTCTCACAAGACAGATCACAGAACACTTTGGACTAGAATGACTCAGATTGGTCTACACCCAGAAACCTGATCAGGGGTCAGGGGTCAGCTGCAGGAACCAGAGGAATCATGGAGACTCAAACCTTTAGTGTGCAGATTGTTATAAATCTGACTATGTTTTCAACTAAAACTGTTGTTTGTGCTTCTGACTCAGTCTGAAAGGTTCTACTGGACACCTGGTTCCACAGCTTTAGAACCATTCATCGGGCCGACCCTGTTCGGTCCGACTTCCGCTTCCGGTCGGTAACAAGATGGCGCCCGTGCTTGGCTTAACCGCGGTCACCGGCCACTTTTTCAAACTTTTCTCCACTAACCTCCTCTTTTCCACCTTGCTCCTGTCTGCGATCCTCTTCAGTAGTGTCCCTGCTACCATCTCCTATGATCGCCAGACTCTTTGATCCTTCCTTTCGTTCACGATCGCCCAAGATGCACCGAGGACGTACAATCCTGTTTGTTTATCTGAGTGGCGCACTGGCCCGGAACCAAACGACGATTGCAACCAGGACGCCTCAAGCGATGTTTGTCCGGTCTCGGGAAAACGTCGGAGGAAAAGAAGTAAATGAGCAGGAATCCTGGTGAGAATAAGACTTCTCTTAAAACCGTGGTTTATCTTGTAACCATCGCCGTGATCTTCTGGCTTCTTGTCCTTTGTTTGGTGACCTGAGCGCCACTTCCGCATTCCCGCCAGGCCGCTTTGCGGCGCGGTTTCTCCGTCCAAGTTTTTTAAGGTCGGTTTATCTTCATTTCTCAGTGGTTTCTCCTCTTGTTCCCTCCATAAGTGGTTTTTATAAACACCGTGGATCTAACCCTGCTAACTGATGTCAACTAACTCCAGCTGTTTCTGTGGTTTCTGATTCCTCCACCCCACTCAGCATGGCTCTATTAAATACCCGCTCTGTTAACAATAAGTCCTTCCTGCTCAATGATCTAATTCTCTCTAAAAACCTGCATTTTCTGTTTCTGACTGAAGTTTGGCAGCAAACATCTGATTATTCTGGTCTGACTGAACTCTGCCCGAGTGGTTATTCTTTTCTTAGCCAGCCCCGGGGTTCTGGTCATGGTGGAGGCTTAGCTGTTGTTTTCAGAGACCATCTTCCATGTAGCTCTACAACCTCTGGTCACTTTGCTTCCTTTGAACTGCAGCTGATTAAAGTTGGGCGTAAGGACCCGTTCTACTGTGCTGTGGTCTATCGTCCACCTGGTCCAAACAGTTCTTTCCTTCAGGAGTTTAGTGACTTTCAATCCTCCACTGTGAAACTGTCCAGACTGATGATTGTTGGTGACTTTAACATCCACATTGATGATCCCTCAGACCACTTAGCCATGACTTTCTCCAGCCTTATGGACACCTTCAGCTTTACCCAGCATTTTTCTGGCCCCACACACACCAGGGGGCACACTCTGGACCTTGTTTTTACCCTGAATCTAAATGCTGACAGTGTTTGTCCTGAGGATGTTTATATTTAAGATCACCATTGCATTTTCTTTAACTTGTCAGTTTCTGCGTCCCCACCTCCTGCTCGCCGTATGGTTAGTTCTCGTTTTCTTAATGAGAGCACAGCTAGCAATTTTTCCGCTGCTTTTGATCCACCCTGTTCTTCTGATAACGACCCAGATTCCTTAACTTCTCAGTTTAACGATCACTGCCTCTCCATTCTGGACAACATCTGTCCTGTCAGAACCAGATCAGTTCCTGCAGTGAACCCTACTCCCTGGTTTAATGACAGCCTTTGCAGCCTAAAGCGCCAATGCAGGAAAAATTGAGCGATTGTGGACGAAAACCCATCTCCACGTCCATCTGCTGCACCTAAAGGATCTTCTGACATCCTTTAACTCTGCAGGCAGAGGTGCTAGGGTTTCCTATTTCTTCAACCTGGTGTCCCAGAGCAAAGAGAAACCCAAGGTGCTGTTAAACACCATCAGCAGCATCGTCTCTCCTGCCTCTCCTACAGCCTCCATCCACTCTGTTGCAGACTGTGAGAACTTTCTGTCTTTCTTTGTGGACAAAGTCAATAAGGTTAGATCTAGCATCTCTCCTTCAGCCTTATCGCCGCCTCTCCAGACTCCAACCAGGCCCATCATCCTAGATAGCTTTGCTCCTGTTTCTTTGCCTGAGTTAACCAAACTAGTTAACTCTATGAAGACCTCTGCATGCCCCCTCCACATCTTACCCTCATCTTTGTTTAAAAGTGCTTTTCTGTCCCTCGGTCCCAGCGTGCTCTCTATAATTAATGCTTCTCTGGTTTCTGGTCAGGTCCCTACTTACTTTAAGAACGCTGTAATCCACCCGCTTCTTATAAAAACAAGTCTTGACCCCTCTCTCCATAGCAGCTTCAGACCCATCTCTAAACTTCCGTTCATCTCCAAGATCTTGGAAAAGGATGTGGCTAAAAAACTCACAGCTGCTCTTGATGAACATAACATCTATGATAGCTTCCAGTCAGGTTTTCGTAGAGCTCATTCTACTGAAACAGCTCTTCTTAGGGTCTCTAATGATCTTCTGACTCACAGTGATGCAGGGGACTGTTCTGTTCTAGTCCTGCTGGACCTGACTGCAGCCTTTGACACTGTTGACCATCACCTGCTACTGGAGAGGCTGAGATACTGGGTAGGCCTATCAGGAACTGCTCTGGAGTGGTTCTCCTCTTATCTTTCTGAGCGCTCCTTTTCTGTGGCCGTCTCCAAGTTTAGGTCCTCCACCACCTCCCTTACCCATGGTGTCCCACAAGGTTCTGTGCTGGGGCCTCTGCTCTTCCTCCTCTATCTGCTTGCTCTTCAGCACATCCTGAGCTCCTTCAAAGGAATCTCCTACCATCTTTATGCAGATGACATCCAACTGTACATCTCCTTTAAGCCCCATGAGATGGCTAAGCTGCAGCTGTTACACACCTGCTTAGACTCTATCAAAACCTGGATGGTGGGAGCTTTCTTCAGCTGAATGAAGATAAGACTGAGATCCTCATCTGTGCCCCAGACAAGCTGGTTCCCAAAGTCAGAGACTCTCTTGGTCAGCTTGCTTCTCACACCAAACCTTCCATCAGGAATCTTGGTGTGACCTTTGACCCTGCTCTCACCCTGGATTATCATGTCAGTTCTCTTGTTCGCTCTTCCTTCTTCCATCTCAGGAACATTGCTAAGCTGAGTCCCATTCTGTCCCGCTCTGAACTTGAGACAGTTCTCCACACCTTCATCTCCTCACGCTTAGACTACTGTAACTCTCTTTTCACGTGTCTGAGCAGAACCTCCCTGAACCGTCTACAGGTGGTTCAGAACGCCTGTGCTCGGCTTCTGACCAAGTCCTCCAAACACACCCACATCACCCCGCTTCTCCTCCAGCTTCACTGGCTGCCAGTCAACTTCAGGGTTCATTTCAAGGTCCTGGTTCTGGTCTATAGGGCCTTACATGGACAAGCACCATCTTACATTGGTGATCTTCTTAGTCCCTACACCCCCAGCAGGTCCCTGAGATCCAGTGATAAGAGCCTATTGGTTGTGCAGCACCAGGCTAAAGGTCAAAGGTGACAGATCATCTGCTGCTGTGGCCCCCAGACTCTGGACCTCTCTCCCCCTGAGCCTGAGATCAGTGGACTCAGTGGTCTCCTTTAAAAAGCAGCTGAAGACTCACTTGTTCAAGCTGGCTTTTGTATGACCTTCTTCACCTCTCTCTCTTTATTCTGCTCTCCCCACCTATTCCACCTTCCTCAGGGTCCACTGATTTCCCTCTTTCCTGTTCACTCTCTCTCTTTTTGTTTTGTTTTTTAATCCCAATTGTCTATTTTTTTGCTCATTCTAAATATATTTGTAATCATTTTCTAAATTCTTTTTTATATTTTTACATTTTTTTGTTTCTGTGAAGCGCCTCGTGATTTTTATCTTGAGAGGCGCTATAGAAATGATACTTTCTTCTTCTTTCACCAAATGAACCAACCGACTACCTCAAGCTGCAAGGTTAGTTTGTGTGTGTGTGTGTGTGTGTGTGTGTGTGTGTGTGTGTGTGTGTGTGTGTGTGTGTGTGTGTGTGTGTGTGTGTCTCACCGTCGTAGTTCACGATGATGATGGCCAGCATGTAGTCTTTGCCCATCATGGCTCCACCCTCTGATTCAGCCAGCTGATCTGTTCAGACTTTGAGGCCCAGAAGACTGAGCTCTCTCTCTCCCCCCTCTGTCCTGGTCTGGGTGTCTCTTGTCCCTCTGGCCGTCCTCTACCACCATCAGTCTTCTACTACGCTTTTGTTTTAATTCTGACCTAATGATTTTTCACCCTCCTCTGCTTCTCTCCTCTCCGTCTGATGGAGGATGCTGTAATCCTCCCCCTCTTCCTCCTCCTCCTGATGACATCATCACTCCCCTCCCTCACTGGCTCTGCTTCGATCGCCCTCCACAATGTTTTAAAGAGCAAATAGCAGGCTAGAGCCTCCCTTGAACCGATATTTAGAGAAACCTAATAGGAACTCATTCTAAATAAAAATGTACACATACGCATAAATTATTTAGGCTTTTGGATGAGTCATTTTTGTGAGAAATACTTATTTTTCTGCTGAAGCGGGAGTGATGCAGAAGATCTGTTAGCTTGATCCAGAGAGAAATGTGGACTCCAATGCCGGCTCTGACAAATGTTTATACTAATGACGGACCACAGACCTGCAGCTATGAGCCCGCTGCACGCCCCAGAGAGCAGAGACAAACCAGAAGCAGAAACGGTGGCCAAAGGAGAGAGATTTAGCTGTCGTGTCACGAGGTTCTGTGGAGCGTAAGGCAGGTGTCTGGGACAGAACCATGCTAGCTAGCTAGTTTTAACCCATGTGCTAACATCACAATATTGTACAGATGGACAATTACAAATATTATTTGTCAGTTAATTTAGTACATATAAACTATAATAAGTGTTTTTCAGCTCTCATACTCGTTAATGTTCGTTCACGTAACGTAGCTAGCACTATAGAGAGAGGGAGGGACGCCTGTCACTCAGGGTGGTGGTTCTGACCTGGGTCCGACGCTGATCTGGGTTCCAGGAGCCCAGGGGGTATTTTTAAAATCCTCCCATCCTGTCCTGGAGGACAAGAGGCATGTTGATCTCCCATCACATTGCTGGGATTGTAACCCTCCGATCTGACGTACGCACCCAAACAATAAATATTTAGCATATTTACTGCAAAATCTCATTTTTCTGCTTTAGTGCTGCAACAAGGTTTTATTAATAATAAATTATAACTTTTGTTTTACTACAGCATCGGTAAGCTTCCTCTGTACAGATTATTAAGGATGCTTGTTTCAGCTGTGAGATTAGACGATAGGATCAATGAAAACATAAGTTGTCACACACTCCATGGAAACTTTCAGAGAATCCACAAATAGTGGCTTTCAAATAGTTGTGTTACTTTTAGCAAGTTTAGAAAAGCAGCAGATGAGACAGCATGTCTGATCATTTAGTTCTTCATCTGATAATATTAGAACATGTCAGTAATGTCTGAGGGGCCTTTATAAACACTGTATAGCCAATACTCCTGGGGAGGGTATGGATTACACAGAGGCTTCTGGGGAGCCCAGTTATGGGGTGGTGGTATGTGTGTGTGTGTGTGTGTGTGGGGGGGGGGGGGGGGGTCATTTTGCCTTGGCCCCCAAAATGTCTTGAAACGGCCCTGGGTGTGTGACAAAGTTTTGAAGGTGATCTGAATTGTATCAGATGTATAAATATTACATGTGTGTAACTTATTGTTTTGCAGGTAAAAACGTGTCGTGGAGATAAATCTACCTACTTTTTACTTTGCAACACTTTGTTTTGTTTTCTTGTTTTTATTTAACTATATTTTCCTGTCCTGTCTGTCTCTCATCTTCCTGCATCTCCTCTAAACTCTCCAGAAAATCTGCTGCCTGGATTCTTACTTTTTCACCTCATCAGTTACTTCTGAGCAGATCAAAGGGATCTCCTGACCACAAAGCGGAGAGCGCGTTTCGATGCGTCAGTGAGGTGAAATCACCACAGCACAGGTGATGAGCTCCGCAGTAGCAGAGCGCTTCAGGCAAAAATAAGACAGAAAGTAGAGAACATGTGCGGACATGAACGATCGTGTGCTAATTATAGTTTTTTGGTTGCGCCACGTTGAGAATGGACCGTGCGCTGGAAGCAGCTGCCTGGATCGCTGTGCACCGATCATCGCTCTGCCGCTCTCTGCTGAAAAGAGTCCATGAATGATAATATAGTAATATAGGTAGAAAACTTTTTTCCGACTCCCCTGGATGTGTAGGATATACAGCTCCCCCATCCCTGCTCCTGGATGAAAAGCCAGACATTTTCATCAATACAAGAACCCGGACACCCAGGACAGAGTGAAAAGCGGACATGTCCGGGGAAAACAGGACGTACGGTCACCCTAGTTTAATATAAAGCGGGAGATTACAGATACAGTAATTTGCTCGTGCCCTTGCTGCCCTGGGCCCTTTTGAGTTTGTGGGCCCTGGGCAATTGCCCAGTTGCCCATATGGTTAATCCGGCCTTGTTAGCAGTGTGTGTGTCTTTTGGGCTCCTGTGCTTGTTTTGAGTGCTTGTGATGGTTGGATCCTCCTTGTTCTCATGTAAGTGTCGCCTGTTACGCCGGAGCACTTGCCCTTCACCTGTTTGGATGTGGTAGCTCCTTTGGGTGTTGGCCAGCTTTGTTACTGTTGCCGGCCTCCAGTATCCATCTTCGTTTTGGAAATGAATAGGTGCGCCATCAGGTAGGTGTGTAAGTGGTCTTGCAGATCGGTTATAGTACATCTGCTGGCGGCGTTGGCATGCCTTTCCCCTGCTGTATACAACCTCTTGGCATATTATGTGTGGTTTCAGCTGCTTCGTGGTTGTGGGGAGTATTGAGCGCAGTCTGTGGCCCATCAGGAGTTGCGCAGGGGATCCCAGGCCAACATTCACGAGTTTTTTGGAAGGACATTAGTGAACGGATAATCTCAAACTTACTACTGATGTTTTTGAAGTTGGTGATATTCTGTTCAATGTGATGCTGCTATCAATATAGTTGTATTGTTAGCCAAATATCACATCCATTGCAATAAGTGGAGGGGTACCAAGCCCTCATGCCCATGCTTCTTGAACAAATTTAAACTATTCTATCCATCAATAAGTAAAATGGAAAAATGCAAGAATCATCTCATGGCAAATAACTGAGAACTTACTGTTTTGAGTTTCCTATGTAAATCATGCTCCTTTGTTTTTTATGTTATTTTCCTTTTCTTTGCTTAGCCCCCTAGCCTGTTTTTAAGCTTACATCCTCCATGAGAGTTTGTTGTACCTTGTTCTGTTACGTCTGTTCAGGAATAAAAAAAATAAAAACGAAACAAAAATAAAAATTTGAAAAAAAAAAACTGAACTACGTGGCCTTGGTGCTTCCGGTTAGCGTCATTTGGAATTCTAGGACGTCCAAGGAAGATCCCGCCTTTCCCGTCTGATTGGCTAGAAAGGCTCTACTACGATTGGCTATTTCATTTAACAGCAACCTGGCTGTCCTCGCTTAACTCTGCCATCAGCAGAAAGCTGGTTTGGGGAGTTTAGTAAAGAAAATATGAACTTAGCTCTATAATAAACATTCTTTCCTGGTTTGCACAATATTTTATGTTTTATATTTCATAAAAAACTGAAAAACGTAAAATGTGAATTTTAAATCTTGTTGCATTTATCAAACTGTTGGACTTTCTTTATATCTCTTGGCTCTGAAGCATTAAATTACATCAGATAAACATATGTGCTTTACCTGGGGATGACATTTAATAAAACTGCCCTGTTCTGCCAAGCTGTGTGCATCAGGTGTGTTTCTTCTCTAGAATAATGAAAACTGGTGAAAAATAGGTCTAAATCATAATCAGCAATTTTTTATTAAATGACATACTTTTGTTTGATAATCAGAGATGTGCTCTAACTTGTAAACAGCCTTAACCTATTAAAGCAGGATAGCCTAATAATGAAGTAATAAGATAACCCCAATAGAGCCAACAGATATAAAGTCAGGCTACAGTGTGGCAAAATGCTACAAGAATTATTACAAGTTCACATTTGATGTTTTTCGGGCTTTTTTTATGAAAGAAACTGAACATGGTTTGTTGCTAAACAGGAAAGGATGTTTATTATAGCGATGAGTTCTCATTTTCTTCAAAAAACTCCTCAAGATCTGGCTGTAAACACACAACTGTTTCCTTTTACACGAAATAGCCAATCGTAGTAGAGCCCTTCCAGCCAATCAGAGGGGAGAAAGGCGGGACCTTCCTTGGACATCCTAGATTTCCAAATTACGCTCCCGGTTTGCCTAGCTGTTTGCAAGCAGCTGATTTCTGACCACCAACATGGAGAATGTTTACGTTAAACCCGGTGAGTAAACAGCGGCTCCTAAAACTCTGGTAGTTTCACTTTAAGTTTACTCGGCAACACCGGCTGCTGCTAACGTCACGGTGTGGCTGGCGTGGAAAACGAGCTTAAATATCGCTGACTCATCCGACTATAAATCCACCTTTGTTTCTATCTGGTTCGTTGATGCGTGTTCCGATTATTTATGAGAAACCTGACCTGAGATTGTTTATCAGCTACGTGGCTCCGTGTGAATCGCGTGCCAGCTCACTCCATGCTCTGGTTCTACGAGCCAAGCTCATTTGGAATCAAGCCTCACTAAGTTAAAGGTTCGCTAGGCACCTTTTCCATTTGTTTATCATCTTGAGCCAGTATATAATAAAATGACCCGTACAGGGTTAATGAAGTCACTCAGACTGGCGGACCGCCCCCAGTGGACATGTCTGGCACTGCAGTCTGGTTCTTGCGTGTTGTAGATCGAGAACAGCTGGTTTCACACGATGGTTTCACACCAAGATCCCACAATGCGGGTGAAACATTGAGGCCAACGCGGAAGTGACAAAAATTGCAGTTCCACCCTCATCCGCTGGGGGCTGGTGTCAGAAGCGAGCAAATCCTCATTCACTCCCATGTTAAAAATACCAATTTCACAGCAGAAATAAACATGTTTACAGCCTGGTTCCAAAACATGTTTTTGGTTTAAATGATCTAGTTTACACTCATAACAACTCTGAGGGGGGTGAATTTTTTTCTCACTCTTCTGTTTAAGTGTATTAAAAGCCTAAAATTCTGTATAATTAATGAGCATCAGACCCACGTGACCACAGAGCTAGCTCCGTGGAAAGGCCTCAGTAGAGCCTCGGTCTGGCCTGGAAACTGCTCCAGGATTTTGAGTCTCTGTGTTTGTGTATTCTTGTTTGGATATTTTTTGTGCAATTGTTGGACAAAATGACTTGCTGTGGCATTAATTGCACTAATAGAGCATCCAAGGAGTCTCCACTTAATTTTTTTCGGTAGGTAAAATTATATTTATGTATTTTAGGTCGCTGCTGAGCTGAGCTTAGATTTTAACATGTACTGTTTAACCATGAAATTTAAATGTAATAGGGTAAAACCCAGTGCATTTAACATAATGCTGCACTTTAGAAAATGGGTTTTAATATACCGTGTATTTGACTCAAGCTCATCAAGCTCCAGGCCTTTATTGGAAGGAGGACCAGAATTAGAGGCAGGCCTCTATTTCTATTTGAGCAAAAGGAACTAATGGTTCGCTGGAGTTTTTGACAATTAATATTGCGCCCACATTTTCTAAGTGAAACATTTCTTTTAACAACGGTAGTTTCTGCTTCAGCCATCTCCCCCCTCCCCCTGCGCAGCGGCCGCAAACTCACTGATGCGCTTGCAGCCTCTCAGAGTTCCTAAACATTAAAATAATTATTTCATTTTCTGTTCCTCACTTCTGATTACCTTCAATGGTGTCTGTTTGTTGCAACCAGCAGGTACAAAAACTAACTTGTTTTTATTTGACTGTTTTTCTGTCCTGTCTGTTTATTATCTTCCTGCATCTCCTCTCAGTCCTAAAGAGAAACTGCTACCTGGGTTCATATATTCACCTTATGAGTTACCTTTGAACTGCAGTTCTAAAAGATCAACCGACCGCAAAAACAGCGGAGTGCTCGCTGCTTGCCGGCCGCATCAGTGGTCGGTGCGTCACCGGATGACAAGTTGATGCGCCCCGCTCCACAGCGAAACGCATCAGGCGCAAATAAAAGACAGAAAACATCAAAGGAAATGAACCGACATGAACGATCGCGTGTTAAATAATTTGGCAACACCTGATTGTTACTGTGGCCGTGCTCAGGAGGCAGATCTACCGACCGCAAAAACAGCGGAGTGCTCCCTGCTTGGCGGCCGCATCAGTGATCAGTGCGTCGGAGGACAAGGTGATGTGCCCCGCTCCACAGCAGCAAAACGCATCAGGCGCAAATAAAAGACAGAAAACATCAAAGGAAATGAACCGACATGAACGATCGCGTGTTAAATAATTTGGCAACACCTGATTGTTACTGTGGCCGTGCTCAGGAGGCAGATCTACCGACCGCAAAAACAGCGGAGTGCTCCCTGCTTGGCGGCCGCATCAGTGATCAGTGCGTCGGAGGACAAGGTGATGTGCCCCGCTCCACAGCAGCAAAACACATCAGGCGCAAATAAAAGACAGAAAACATCAAAGGAAATGAACCGACATGAACGATCGCGTGTTAAATAATTTGGCAACACCTGATTGTTACTGTGGCCGTGCTCAGGAGGCAGATCTACCGACCGCAAAAACAGCGGAGTGCTCCCTGCTTGGCGGCCGCATCAGTGATCAGTGCGTCGGAGGACAAGGTGATGTGCCCCGCTCCACAGCAGCAAAACACATCAGGCGCAAATAAAAGACAGAAAACATTAAAGGAAATGAACTGACATGAACGATGGCCCCCGTACTTGCTTGTTACCACATTCCACCCGGCCACAATAAGAGACCGGCCATTATTCACCTCCGCCGACTCCGATACTGGCCAAAATTGGAGACTCGGCCTTTAATTGAATACCGGCCTGTATTGGAGGATTTACGGTAACATGTTGGTGGAGCTGGGTTCCGACTATCGGCTTGTGGAGCTCTCCTCCTTGAACTGTCACCTCATCGTGGTGGAGGAGTTTGAGTGCCCTAATGATCCTAGGAGCCATGTTGTCTGGGGCACTTTGTGCCCCTCGTAGGGTCTCCCATGACAAATTGGTCTTAGGTGAAGGGTGAGACAAAGAATGGTTCACAGGATCTTTCATGGAAGTAATTTCAAAGAGTTGGAGTACCCGGCCCGGAGGGTTACCGGGTTCCCACCCTGGAGCCAGGTCTGGGGTTGGGGCCCGTGAGCGAGCGCCTGGTGGCCGGCTTTCGCCCATGGGGCCCGGCCGGGCCCAGCCCGAACCGGATACATGGGCTCATCCAACTGTGGACCCACCACCCGCAGGAGGAACATGAAGGGTCCGGTGCAATGTGGATCAGATGGCAGACCAAGGCGGGAGCCTTGGCGGTCCGATCCCCGGACAAGAAAACTGGTTTTTGGGACATGGAACGTCACCTCGCTGGCGGGGAAGGAGCAGGAGCTTGTGGCAGAGGTTGAGCGGTACCGGCTAGATATAGTCGGACTCACCTCGACACATAGCATTGGCTCTGGAACCCAAGTCCTTGAGAGGGGTTGGACACTCTCTGCTGGAGTTGCTCCGGGTGAGAGGCGGAGGGCTGGGGTTGGCTTTTTGTTAGCCCCAAGACTCTCTGCCTGTGTGTTGGGGTTTACCTGGGGGGACGAGAGGGTAGTTTCCCTGCACCTTCGAGTCGGATAACGGGTCCTGACTGTTGTTTGTGCTTATGGGCCAAATATCAGTTCAGAGTACCCACCCTTTTTGGAGTCCCTGGGACGAGTGCTAGATAGTGCTCCATCAGGGGACTCCATTGTCTTGCTGGGGGATTTCAATGCTCACGTGGGCAATGACAGCTTGACCTGGAGGGGTGTGATTGGGAGGAACGGCCCGTCTGATCTGAACTCAAGTGATGTTTCGTTATTGGACTTCTGTGCAAGCCGCAGTTTGGCCATAATGAACACCATGTTTGAACATAAGGTTGCCCATCGGTACACTTGGTACCAGGGCAGCCTAGGTCGCAGGTCGATGATAGACTTTGTAGTCGTATCATCTGACCTGCGGTCGTATGTTTTGGACACCCGAGTGAAGAGAGGAGCGTAGCTGTCAACTGATCACCACCTCAAGTGGAGGAGTTTAAGTTTCTCTGGGTCTTGTTCACGAGTGAGGGTAGGAGCGATTGGGAGATCGACAGGCGGATTGGTTCAGCATCTGAAGTGATGCGGACGCTGAGCCGATCTGTCGTGGTGAAGAGGGAGCTAAGCCAGAAAGCCAGGCTCTCGATTTCCCGGTCGATCTACGTCCCAATCCTCACCTGTGCTCCGAGTCTTTCACCTCCTTCTCCCCAATTACACTAAATGACTTAGCCTCAATAATCAGTCAGATGAAGCTCTCATCATGCTCATCAGACATATTACCTCCCTCTGTCTTAGTCGGGTCCCTTGACTCCATCAGACCATCTCTATTTACTGTGATCAACAGCTCACTGAGCCAAGGCTGTGTTCCATCTTACTTTAAAAATGCAGTAGTGACTCCTCTCTTAAAGAAACCCAACCTTGACGCCAGCTCCACCAGTAACTTTAGGCCCATTTCTAAACTACCTTTCATCAGTAAAGTACTTGAGAAGGTTGTGGAAACCAAACTCAGATCCTGGTTTTCCAAGTCAAAGATCTCTGACCCCTTCCAATCTGGCTTTCTGAAGCAGCACTCAACCGAGACTGCTCTTGTAGGGGTGCATAATGACCTCCTGATGGCTGCTGATGCTGGGAAATGCTTTGTCATGGTCCTGCTTGACCTCGGTGCAGCTTTTGACACTGTAGACCACAAAGTACTACTAAACAGGTTAAAGGCCCTGGCTTGGATTTCAGGTTCTGCTCTAGACTGGCTCTCTTCTTATCTCGCTAATAGAACATTCTCAGTGGAGTCAGAAACCTTCTCTTCAGACACTGCCTCTCTAACATGCAGGGTTCCACAAGGTTCAGTTCTAGGGCCTCTACTATTCGCATTCTATATTCTTCCTCTAGCTGTTATCATTCAATCTTTCCCAGACATCTCCTACCACATCTACGCTGACGATATACAGCTTTATATGTCCTTCATGCCACACTAGTTGGACAGGCTGGCCACCCTTGTACTCTGCCTGACCCAGATCAGTAACTGGCTGTCCAGCAACTTTCTTGTTCTCAACGCCAACAAGACAGAGACCCTGATCTCTGCACCCCCGGAACATCAACCAAAAATCGAGCAGGAAATTGCCTCCTTTTGCCCATCAGCCAAGGCCAACATTAGAAACCTGGGAGTTATTTTTGATCCAGTTTTAAGTTTAGACTCACACGTCAAAACCATCTCCCGCTCTTGTTTCTTTCAACTGAGAAACATTTCAAAAGTCCGTAAACTGGTTTCTACTGCAGATCTGGAAAAAATCATCCATGCCTTTGTGTCATCACGCTTAGACTACTGTAACGCTCTTTTTACTGGTCTCAGCAAAACCTCCCTCTCACGCTTTCAAGCCATCCAAAATGCAGCAGCCAGACTCCTAACCAAATCCAGCAGACGAGCTCACATCACCCCAGTTTTACAGTCCCTCCACTGGCTCCCGGTAGAATTTAGAATACAGTTTAAAGTTTTAGTGCTGACCTATAGAGCTCTTAACAACCAGGCTCCAAGCTATTTATCTGAGCTTTTATCCCCACACACCACTTCACGGAACCTCCGATCCACATCTGGAAACCTCCTGGCTTTTCCTCGAACCAGACTAAAAACCAAAGGGGACAGGGCCTTTCAGTCTATTGCCCCCAGACTTTGGAACAGTCTGCCTTCAAATCTCCGTCTCTTGAAATCTGTAGAGGTCTTCAAAAAACATCTTAAAACTCACCTTTTCATCCAGGCTTTCCCCCGCTAAATATTCTAAAAGATGGCTTTGTTCTTGTTCACACCTTGACTTTGTTTACTCCTGATTTTGGTTACTATTGTTGTCACTGCTATTGTTTTTATGATGTTTTTATTGGTTTGAGGTATTTGCCCTGATTTTACTCATGTTGTACAGCGCTTTGTGATTTATATATGTGAAAGGCGCTATATAAATAAACTTACTTACTTACTTGCCTATGGTCATGAGCTTTGGGTAATGACCGAAAGAACGAGATTGCGGATACAAGCGGCCGAAATGAGTTTCCTCCGTAGGGTGGCCGGGCTCAGCCTTAGAGATAGGGTGAGGAGCTCGGACATTCGGGAGGGACTCGGAGTAGAACCGCTGATCCTCCGGATCGAAAGGAGCCAGTTGAAGTTGTTTGGGCATCTGGTCAGGATGTCTCCTGGACGCCTCCCTGGGGAGGTGTTTCGGGCATGTCCTGCCGGCAGGAGGCCCCTGGGTTGACCCAGGACACGTTGGAGAGGTTACATCTCCAATCTGGTCCGGGAACGCCTTGGGGTCCTGCCGGAGGAGCTGGTGGAGGTGGCCGTGGAGAGGACGGTCTGGAGCTCCCTAGTTGGGATGCTGCCCCACGACCCGGACCCGGATAAGTGGAGGAAGACGACGACGAGGTACAAACCTCAAATCTACAGGCTTGTGGAGCTCTCGGAAGACCTCTGTTTTCCACCCGGTTCTCCCCTCCCCGCAGCTCGGTGCATCTCTGTCTGATCGCGGCTTCTGTCTGCTGCGCGGGCTGCCGGCTTGTGGAGCTCTGGGATGGAAACCTTTCCACCCGGTTCTCCCCAGCGGCAGCTCTGTGCATCTCAGATCGCAGCGGCACTTGTCTGCTGTGCGGCTGCCGGCTTGCGGAGCTCTCGGGAGACCTCTGTGTTCCACCCGGTTTTACCCAGCGGTCAGCCCGGCGTATATCTGACTCAGAAGCTCTGGTGTTGTGCATAGTTAACTCCGGTTGTAGCTAGGTTGCTACCTCCATTAGCTTAGCTCCCACCTCCGCGTTAGCTTCAGGTTAGCTTGTAGCTAGTTCGACCTGGTGTCGTCAGTTGATCCCAGCCTTACAGCCCCACCCTCAGCTCCACCTCTCTTCCCTTTTGTGGAATTGTCTGGGCTTGACGGAACCTGTGACATGGTCAAAATGGCGGTGGTGGCCACCTCCCATTTATCTTCAAAAATGTGTTATTGGAGCCTTTGGAAACCCATTGTCCAATATTTATATGTCGATGTTTTATACTCAAAAGGGTTTATTGGCATATGTGCGAGAATCACAACATTAGGAAATTTCTGTGGTACTTGGTGCAAGAAAAAATAAATGATAAGCGAAATTAGAATTAAATGAACACAGAAATGATAATTGTATAGGGAGCCTAAGTCATGCCCATCTACTTCTGGACCACGGGTCCCTGGAAGAAAGAAAAAATGAATGCAAGTCAACAGGGCTAAAAACGCTAATTTCTAATTCCGCTTGTTTTGTGCCATGGATTTCACACATGATGTCCGTGAATTTTAAAGACACATTTTGATACCAAGAACGCACTTATTTTCAAACAGGTGAAACGCTATTTTAGGTTTTGTGTGAAAGTAAGTCCAGGACTACAAATGCGCATCTCGACACGTCATCAAACCAGACACAGAGAAAACTAAGGGAAAAGGGCTGTAAGTCTAGCAAACTTCCAACAGGAGGACAGAACAACCATCAATCTGGTCATGTGGTAAGTAGCAGCTATGCTAGGGGGCAGGAGATTATGTGGTGATATGCGACGTGCCGTTGTAGTCATGCTACTTACAAACTTTTACAAGCTGATAAATCTCAAAGTCCATGACGGGTGTGGTCGAAACACCTATTATTAGTTTTCATTTAAATGGCAGTAAAACGTGTGATCCAGGGAAAAGTGGGTTAGAAAATAGCATTTTTAGCTCCGTTGACTTGCATTCACTTTTTTGTTCTTCCGGAGACCCGTGAGCCAACCGGGAAGGGAGGACACTTAGGCTCCCTATAGGGAGACAATAATTAGAGAAACAGCTACTTTTACAAGTCAGTGTAGGTTCAGAGCGGTTCAGTTCAGGTGCAAACACATCACCAGGTCATGTGACTGGAACAAAGCAGCTGCAGTGGGCAGGTCTACGATTGTCCTCTCTTAAAAGAGTAAAGTCTCGTCTCCTGCGGGAGACCTTGGAGGTGCAGCTCCTTGTAAACATTAGAGGTTGTTTACACTTAGTTTCCAGGTAGTGCCGCAAGAGAAGTTAAGCATGGAATTGTTTTGGGAAGAACCACCGACCTCTGACATTGCAGTGGTCAAATAATCTTGTTGGACTTCTCCAACGCTACCGTAGGAAGCACGAGATCTCAAACTGAGGTTTTCTTTTGGAGTGCCCTTTGAGCTGGGGATACCCAGTGGCAACTCCTCAATGTCTTCATCTTCAGTCTGCTCGCCTACAATTGACCTCTGAGCCATTTCCTTCTGTCTTTTACCTATGAACCGCCTGTAGCACGTTGGGTGAAAGGCAGCGTTATATACATAGATATATCATTTTGAACAAATCCAACCCAGAAAGAAAACACACAGTCCTCAAGGACTCACCCCAGACACACCCACCCCGCATACTCACACCCACTCAGCACACCTGTAAGAAATGTGTCTGTTTCACAGGAAACCAGGAGCGAGGCTGGAACGACCCTCCCCAGTTCTCATACAGCCTTCAGGTAACCCACGGTCCACAACGGAAGCTCCTGAACAAAAGACCCAGTCCAGCCACAGCCTCAGGTACAGAATCCAATCTACCTGCCAACCCGACCCAACATGCGCCTGGGACCATCCTCTGATCGTCATTCTCATTTTTTACACACTTTTAGGCCTTTTCCAACATCTTTACTCAGCCTTAAGCCTAATTTATGCTTCTCCATCTGTGTCGGGACACAACGCCATTATCCGTCCCTGCGAGTCTGCTGGAGAGCCCTCGCAAGGACGGACGAAGTCGAGCTCTGTTTTCTAAAGCCTGGTGTATACAGTGGGGCAAAAAAGTATTTAGTCAGCCACCGATTGTGCAAGTTCTCCCACTTAAAATGATGACAGAGGTCGGTAATTTACATCATAGGTACACTTCAACTGTGAGAGACAGAATGTGAAAAAAAAAATCCATGAATTCACATGGCAGGATTTTTAAAGAATTTATTTGTAAATCAGGGTGGAAAATAAGTATTTGGTCAATAACAAAAATTCAACTCAATACTTTGTAACATAACCTTTGTTGGCAATAACAGAGGTCAAACGATTACTATAGGTCTTTACCAGGTTTGCACACACAGTAGCTGGTATTTTGGCCCATTCCTCCATGCAGATCTTCTCGAGAGCAGTGATGTTTTGGGGCTGTCGCCGAGCAACACGGACTTTCAACTCCCTCCACAGATTTTCTATGGGGTTGAGGTCTGGAGACTGGCTAGGCCACTCCAGGACTTTCAAATGCTTCTTACGGAGCCACTCCTTTGTTGCCCGGGCGGTGTGTTTGGGATCATTGTCGTAATGGAATACCCAGCCACGTTTCATCTTCAAAGCTCTCACTGATGGAAGGAGGTTTTGGCTCAGAATCTCACGATACATGGCCCCATTCAATCTGTCCTTAACACGGATCAGTCGTCCTGTCCCCTTAGCAGAAAAACAGCCTCAAAGCATGATGTTCCCACCCCCATGCTTCACAGTAGGTATGGTGTTCTTGGGATGCAACTCAGTATTCTTCTTCCTCCAAACACGACGAGTTGAGTTTATACCAAAAAGTTCTACTTTGGTTTCATCTGACCACATGACATTCTGCCAATCCTCTGCTGTATCATCCATGTGCTCTCTGGCAAACTTCAGACGGGCCTGGACATGCACTGGCTTCAGCAGCGGAACACGTCTGGCACTGCAGGATTTGATTCCCTGCCGTTGTAGTGTGTTACTGACGGTGACCTTTGTTACTGTGGTCCCAGCTCTCTGCAGGACATTCACCAGGTCCCCCCTTGTGGTTCTGGGATTCTTGCTCACCGTTCTCATGGTCATTTTGACCCCACGGGATGAGATCTTGTGTGGAGCCCCAGATCGAGGGAGATTATCAGTGGTCTTGTATGTCTTCCATTTTCTGATAATTGCTCCCACAGTTGATTTTTTCACACCAAGGGTTGCTTGCCTATTGTAGATTCACTCTTCCCAGTCTGGTGCAGGTCTACAATTCTTTTCCTGGTGTCCTTCGAAAGCTCTTTGGTCTTGGCCATAGTGGAGTTTGGAGTCTGACTGTTTGAGGCTGTGGACAGCTGTCTTTTATACAGATCATGAGTTCAAACAGGTGCCATTAATACAGGTAACGAGTGGAGGACAGAAAAGCTTCTTAAAGAAGACGTTACAGGTCTGTGAGAGCCAGCGATTTTCCTTGTTTGAAGTGACCAAATACTTATTTTCCACCCTGATTTACAAATAAATTCTTTAAAAATCCTGCCATGTGAATTCATGGATTTTTTTTCACATTCTGTCTCTCACAGTTGAAGTGTACATATGATGTAAATTTCTGACCTCTGTCATCATTTTAAGTGGGAGAACTTGCACAATTGGTGGCTGACTAAATACTTTTTTGCCCCACTGTACTTCTCTGTGAGCTACGCAACAGAGAGATGCACACGGAGTGTCGGACAGGTTTTCACATGTGGACTTCTGTTCAGGCAGCGGAGCGTTGCAGAGCCATTCCCTGCCAGGACAGCAGAGGGCATAGCACCGTTCTGTGGTATCCTGTCACAACACTCATGAATGAAACCCCGATAGTGTATTCACTAATGTGTTTATATATTTCAGACTTTATTAAATGTGCCCTTCATTCTCCTCCACCTCTTCACTCAGTCGCCACCTCTAAATCCATGTTTGCTCCGTATTTTGTACTCCTTCACTCACGGGTAAATAAATGTTCTTATTTTTGGACTTTTTCCACGATGCATTCTTCTATCTGTTCTGGGTCTGCTGCTAAATATCTGTTTACTTTAACAGAGCTACTGTGGTGCTAGTGACAAATATACAGGAAGTAGAGTCCTGACCAATCACAAGCTTGCCGTCTCAGTCACTTTTGACGGATGTTTAAAATTTGGGGCATGTCATCGTTGGAGAGTCCCTGCACCAACGCATGATGGCGTTGCGTGTCTGCACCGACGCAGACAGATAAGCAAGCTTGTGATTGGTCAGACGCCGCTGTTGTTTACAGCGCCGCCATCGCACCCTCAAAAACCTAAAGAGGGCCGAGGATATCTAGCGGCAGACATGGAGCAGCTTGAAGAATACCTTGTGGAAAAACTCTAAAATATGAATGTTTTGTTCCCTGTGACTGGAGGAGTGAAAAAATGCACAGCAAGCGTTTTATTCGTGGGCAGAAATGATGACAAACATGGGTTTAGAGGTGGCAAGTGCATGAAGAGGCTGAGGAGGAGGAGGGACAAATTTGCCCATGTCAAAAAGCCTAAGCCACGCCCACCTACTTCCGGACCACGGGTCCCCGGAAGAACAAAAAAATGAATGCAAGTCAACGGGGCTAAAAACTCTTATTTTCTAATTCCGCTTGTTATGTTCCATGGATTTCACACATGATGTCCGTGAATTTTAAAGACACATTTTGATACCAAGAATGTGCTTATTTTCTAACAGGGGAAACACTATTTTAGGTTTAGTGTGAAAATACGTCCAGGACTACAAATGCGCTTCACCAAAGTGATGTCATCGACCCAGACATGGAGACATGGGCCAATCAGAGAGCTCTCACTATTTGGTGGGCGGGATGATGGTGTGAGTGAGCAACTCTAAGATGGCAGCGGCTCATTAGAAATGGTTTTGGCATCTACTTTGGACTATTTAGATTTGGGCTTGAAGAGCAGACAGAGGTACTGAAGTCCATTATTTAACAAAAGGATGTATTTGCCACTTCTACAGAGAGGACCGCCCCGTCGTCTGACATCTGTAGTGGTGAATATGGCCGTGTTCGAGTTGAGCAGCGCCTCGCCTGGAAAACAGACGAGAGCAGACGGACGCAGCAGGGGGAGTGGCTGAAAGCCGGCGTTTAAAGTTGGACAGATTTCCTGCATGTGTAGCTCGCGGGTGACGGCGGATGAAGATATCATATTAGAGTTCATACGTGTTTAATTGTTTATTTTAATTCTGGTGCCTGTCAGCAGCTGAAACACATCCTCATGTGCTTCATATATTCTATATGAAGACATGACTGTAATAATAAGTAAAGGTTATCAGCTGTAGCTTCAGTGTGTTCATAGGAAACGTGACAAAAGAACACAAAACACATTTCTCTCTATGGCCTATATAGTTGTCATCATCAACGTTACATGACTTACAGAATACATGTGAACAACTAACATTTCATGTTCTACCACCGGATGTTTGGATCAGAATATGAACCAATCAGAACTTAGATCAGGTGAGAGCCAGGCGTTTCCCGTCATCCTCTAGGTTTTGCAGCCGAGGGAGAGCAACTGCAGCGCCTTGCTCCAAAACCTGCGGCCGCCTCGATCTCACGAGGTTATCGTTGCCTACGTATGCATGACGTCAGAGCAAGTCGGAAACAAAGCTAACCGGCAAGCCCTGCTCGCCGTTCACCGTTGATCTTATCGGCGCAGAACTGGCTCATCTGGAACACGGCCAGTGTCACGTTGTTTGTGGTCCAATAGCTTGTAGAGATGGTTGGAAAGACAACCATAGAGCCCTCCCCACTGATTTCCCTCTTTCCTAATCATATTCTCTCTCTTTCTTTACATTTGTTTCTTTTCTCCTTTTAAAAAGATGTTTAATCATTTTAGAAATCTCTTTATATTTAAATGTTTAGTTTTTGTGAAGCGCCCCGTGGTTTTTATGTGAGAGGTGCTGTAGAAAACATCGTCTTTGCCGTCCTCATCAGGGTCACACTATATATTCACACATAGATTTTACATATGCAGGGTGGGTTGCCAGGCTACTAATGGGCCATTCCCATCTGTACCGGGTCGGCCCGGGCCGGGTAGCGTAGGTTGTTTACATATCTGGGTGGCCTGGTATTTTTCCGGGCCAACCAAGGCTCATTCTCAGCCCTCTTCTCGAGGGGGTCTGCTTCAGGCCGACCAGGGCCAACACACCCACTGCTGACAGCAAATTCACACCTTCCATTAGAGCAAGCCTCTGATTGGTGGGTAGAATCAGCCCACATGGGCTTAAGGCAAGGACGTGTGGAATCAACCGGGCCAGGCTGGGGCCGACTGGGGCTACCCGGCCCGGGCCGACCCGGTACAGATGGGAATGGCCCACTAGTCTCTGATTTTTCATCATTTCCAGGAGTCCTACCCACCCCGCCTAACTCGTCTAACACCGCTGCCCCACCCATGTGCGGTGTAGCCCCGCCCCCTCTCACTCAAGGTAAAGTTCAAAAAGAAATGCTAACTGTCTCAACAACAGAACTGTTTGACAGCTTTGATCTTTTTGCCTTTAGCTCGACCTCCAGCTGATGGAGTAGCCACACCCCCTCCACATGCAGGACCAATGAAAGGCCAGAGAGGGGCATCCAGCAGCCAATCAGAACCTGAGTTGGAGACAGTCACGTTGGTGCTGAACAAAGCACTCGATGCGTGTAGACGGGCCGTTAAGGTGAGTGAGGGGTGTCTTCTGGGCTCTACCATCTGCACTGCTCCTTTTTTTCCTCAATGATTCGTTTCACCTGTGCACTCAGGATCAGGTGTGTAATGATGTGGCAAAGCGGCTCCGCCTCCTGGAAGAGAGCTGGAGGACAGATAAACTCAGCTTACCGGTCCGCAGACGCATGGTCCTCCTGGCTTCTGGTAAGCCGTGTTCTGTTCTACTGCACTTGTCTACCTGCTGAACCTGTTTAAACTCCACCCCCTCCTCCCTCTCTCCCAGACGTCCAAGCTGGTCGCTGGGATTCAGCTGATGACCTCCATCGCTCTCTAATGGTCGATCATGTTACTGAGGTCAGCCAATGGATGGTTGGGGTTAAACGACTCATAGCTGAAACCCGACAGCTGAGTCCAGAACTCCTCGAACCACTTCACAGTGTTGTTCCACCAGTCCAGGACCCAGACCATCAGTCTTGATTTTACTGGTTTAGTTGCTCTGACCATTTAGTTAAAACCCGGATCTGGATCTGGATCTGGAGGTCACACTTTCCATGTTCACTCTCGTTACTGTTGTACCAAATCCCAGCGCCAGTCCCGTCTTTATTAACTCAACTCAACTTTATTTCTGTAGTGCATTTGCACACTTCTCATTGACCAACGCGCTGCACATGGAACAGTACAACATCATAGTACAAAACATAAAAACAGTAAAAGCTGGAGAATCTCATGAGACTTCAACCATCAACTGAGGAAGCTTGTTTAATGAAAAGGAGAAGCTGGCTCCACAGTCTGGGAGCCAGCGCTGAAGATGCACGATCACCTCCGCGCACTGAAGAGGAGCATGAGATTGCAGTAAAGCCTTTAAGTAAGGTGGACAAAAAGATCTCCAAATCAACTCTAACATGAACAGAAAGCCAGTGTAGTGCAGCGAGGACAGGAGTGATGTGATCTCACCTTCTAGTGAATGTTAAAAGCCTGGCAGTGGCATTCTGCACCATCTGCAAGCTGATTGGCTAACACCAGCGCACAGAGAGTAGTCCAACTGACGAAGGTGTGGATCAACGGCTCAGTCATTAGTAGATAAAGATCTCAGCTTAGACAGCAAAAGAAGTTTATAAAAGCTGTTTTTAACAACATCGCTTATTTGTTGGTCTTTCCATAACATGAGAGTCTAGACCCCCCCCCCCCCCCCCCCCCCCCGTCTTTCAGCACAGAGTTCCTGAAGGTTCCAGAGAGCCAAGTTCTAGATAACACCACCTCCCAGAAAGGTGTGATAGCCAGGAGTTCACTAGTGCTGTTTCTGTGCTATGATGGGTTTTAAAACCAGATTGAAGTATTTCTTGTACACCATGCCTGTCCAAAAACACACTCAGCTGCTCAAACCTAAAAATGGGAGTTTAGCTACAGGCCTGCCCATGGCCAGATCTGAAGAGTCCAGGGAGGGTTACTTTAGCAGAGGGTGGACAGTATTACTACAAAACTGGATCTAGAAACTGGACTCTGAATGATGTGGTCCTCGGCCAGCAGACTCTGGGCTACTGACACCTTTGGAGTTCTGGACGGGACTCTATTTAACCCAAACAAATGAAGCAGAGTTTGATCTGATGAACAACTGGAATCCAGTGAGCCATTGGAGCCCCCGTCCAGACCTGGATCCTGGATCATGTGGACCCTGAACTGGTTTTTGGTTTCCTCTAATGAATAAACCTTTTTTTCTTCTTGATCTATTGTCTGTTTCAGTCATCATGTTTCTGATCGGGGTGTTGGGGACTAGATTTCCTGGTCCAGGTCCAAGACCAAAGTGGTGATGAGCTAGTAGAGCAAAATAAACTGATCTGTTGTTCATGGTTGTGACCAGCAGGGGGCAGCAGCGGAGCTGGGACCAGAATCAAAACCAGAGGAGCAGCAAGGTTTTAATGTTGCCCAAAATAGAGTCCGCCAGACATCATCCTGCACCAGTGAAGGGCCCAACATGAGGTTTTCATCCTGGTCCCTGTGTGTGTGTGTGTGTGTGTGTGTGTGTGTGCGTGCCTTGCAAAGGTCTTCACACCCCACAATAGTGGCAGATCGAGGAGCTACACTGAACAAAAATATAAACGCAACACTTTTGTTTTTGCTCCCATTTTTCATGATCTGAACTCTGTCTACATGTGTGTTAGTTAGCACTTCTCCTTTACCAAGATAATCCATCCCACCTCACAGCCAGGTGTGGCATATCAAGGGGGGCACACACACCCTGAAGCGCAGAATACGGGACGCTGAATATCAGCAGGGGGACAGATTCAGGCCCTGTCCACACGTAGCCGGGGATCTGCCAAAACGTAGATATTTTTCTACGTTTTGGCCTGTCATCCACACAAAAACGGAGGTTTTTCACATGAAAACAGATCTTTTTAAAAACTCCGGCCAAAGTGAAGATCTGCGTTTTCTCCGTTTTGGGTGTCTGCGTGTGGACGGACAAAACCGGAGTTTTAAGGTCCGCAACGTCACTTTCCGCGACAAAAAAATGCTGACATCACGTGTGCGACCTGTGTTTACACTAGCCGACAGCATGGATGCCCTCAGAGCTGCGCTCGCTTTATCAATTGTCCAAGCGCTTTCTGCTTGTTTGTTTTTGCAAGCGGAATTACTGCTCCTTGCGGAACACCACAGATGAAGGACGAGGTTACGAACGGGGGAAGTACTGCCACCTACAGGTCTGGCATGTCCTTAACAACGTATTTATCCGGGTACATGTGGACAGAGTTTCTTTTTAAACGAGGTGGTGTGGATGCAAGTTTTTGGAGGGACGGATATTCGTTTTTGAAAAAACCCGGCTACGTGTGGACTTGGCCTGAGACAGAATGTCATGCGTCTGTGACGGTGTGTGTCCTGTCACTGTGACTCGATTGATCATGCGCCCTGGCTACTTGTACAGGGGAGATCTCCGTTTGGCTGACTGGGTAGCACACATGACCTTCACCTGGGAGTCTGGAGATCGAATCCTGATCAGACCATTTTTTCATATCTGCCACAGATCTCTCGGAAGAATTCACAACATTGACGGCTTCAGCAACGCTGTGCCACTCCGTGGATTTTCTCTTATTTGTTTTGCAAAAGCACTTCCTTTAATTTCTCCACCTCACCCACAAGTACCTCAACTTCTGCTTCTGTGAAATTGCGCTTCCTTGATCTGCCTTGATCTCCGGTCGCCATCTTCATTGGCGGAGCGCTGCAACAGCTGGCTTATGTATACGGATGAGGTCCACAAGGCACTTTGCATTGACTATTTATGGGAGTAAGTGGGCGTGGTGAGGGCGGGATGTGACTAAAATGCAGCTGAGAACCTCTCTAGAGAGTTTCTGATTTATGAAGTGGAGATTGCGTGCATCTGTGCGTACTCCATGTTTGATAGATCACAAACCTACTTGGTGTAAGAACATATTTTTTGCTGAGCTTAAGTACGGTTTTAGTAAGGATTCTACGCAATGTTTGATAAATGAGACCCCTGCCCTGTGTTGAAGAATGGCAAGGATGAAGCCACTGTTGATAAAAGCATAAAATCATGTTTGCAGTTGTCCATGTAGGGACGCAGACATGTAGGGGACACAGATGTAGGGACACATATAGGGACACAGACATGTAGGGGACACAGTTATGTAGTGACACAGCAGACATGTAGGGGACACAGACATGTAGGGACACATATAGGGACACAGACATGTAGGGGACACAGATGTAGGGACACATATAGGGACACAGACATGTAGGGGAAACAGTTATGTAGTGACACAGCAGACATGTAGGGGACACAGACATGTAGGGGACACAGATGTAGGGACACATATAGGGACACAGACATGTAGGGGACACAGTTATGTAGGGACACAACAGACATGTAGGGGACACAGTTATGTAGTGACACAGCAGACATGTAGGGGACACAGACATGTAGGGGACACAGATGTAGGGACACATATAGGGACACAGACATGTAGGGGACACAGTTATGTAGGGGCACAACAGACATGTAGGGGACACAGTTGTGTAGTGTCACAGCAGACATGTAGGGACACAACAGACATGTAGGGGACACAGACATGTAGGGACACAGACGTGTACTGACACAGCAGACATGTAGGGGACACAGACATGTAGGGACTCAGCAGACATGTAGGGGACACAGCAGACATGTAGGGGACACAGTTATGTAGTGTCACAGCAGACATGTAGGGGACACAGACATGTAGGGACACAGACATGTAGGGACACAGACATGTAGGGGACACAGACATGTAGTGACACAGACATGTAGGGACACAGTTATGTAGTGACACAGCAGAAATGTAGGGGACACAGACATGTAGGGACACAATTATGTAGTGACACAGCAGAAATGTAGGGGACACAGACATGTAGGGACACAGTTATGTAGTGACACAGCAGAAATGTAGGGGACACAGACATGTAGGGACACAGACATGTAGGGGACACAACAGACATGTAGGGACACAGACATGTAGGGGACACAGTTATGTAGTGACACAGCAGACATGTAGGGACACAGACATGTAGGGGACACAGACATGTAGGGGACACAGTTATGTAGTGACACAGCAGAAATGTAGGGGACACAGACATGTAGGGGACACAGAGATGTAGGGACACAGACATGTTGGGAACACAGACATGTAGGGGACACAACAGACATGTAGGGACACAGACATGTAGGGGACACAGCAGACATGTAGGGGACACAGCAGGCATGTAGGGACACAGACATGTAGGGGACACAGTTATGTAGTGACACAGCAGAAATGTAGGGGACACAGACATGTAGGGGACACAGACATGTAGGGACACAGACATGTAGGGGACACAGTTATGTAGTGACACAGCAGAAATGTAGGGGACACAGACATATAGGGGACACAGAGATGTAGGGACACAACAGACATGTAGGGGACACAGCAGGCATGTAGGGACACAGACATATAGGGGACACAGTTATGTAGTGACACAGCAGAAATGTAGGGGACACAGACATGTAGGGGACACAGAGATGTAGGGACACAGACATGTTGGGAACACAGACATGTAGGGGACACAGACATGTAGGGACACAGACATGTAGGGACACAGACATGTAGGGACACAGACATGTAGAGGACACAGACATGTAGGGACACAAAAGACAAGTAGGGACACAGACATGTAGGGGACACAGTTATGTAGTGACACAGCAGACATGTAGGGTACACAGAGATGTAGGGACACAGAGATGTAGGCACACAGACATGTAGGGGACACAGACATGTAGAGGACACAGAGATGTAGGGACACAGAGATGTAGGGACACAGACATGTAGGGGACACAGTTATGTAGTGACACAGCAGACATGTAGGGGACACAGACATGCAGGGGACACAGAGATGTAGGGACACAGACATGTTGGGAACACAGACATGTAGGGGACACAGACATGTAGGGACACAGACATGTAGGGACACAGACATGTAGTGACACAGACATGTAGGGACACAGACATGTAGGGGACACAGACATGTAGAGGACACAGACATGTAGGGGACACAGTTATGTAGTGACACAGCAGACATGTAGGGGACACAGACATGTAGGGGACACAGAGATGTAGGGACACAGAGATGTAGGGACACAACAGACATGTAGGGACACAGACATGTAGGGGACACAGTTATGTAGGGGACACAGAGATGTAGGGACACAGACATGTAGGGACACAGAGATGTAGGGGACACAGACATGTAGGGGACACAGAGATGTGGGTGTGATGCCTTGGTCTGCCTGAGTGTTCGTGGATCCCGGGTCAGGGAGTTTAAGATTTTTGGCATCTGCCTGATCAATCCCGGTGGCGGCCTGGGGGGGTCTGGGTCCCTGGGCTCTGCTGGGTCCCCGGCGGGGGTGGTCGCCCCTGGGTCCCGGGTCGCTGGGTCCCGGACTCGGCCGGCTAGGGGGTGGGAGGCTGCGGGCAGGCCTGAGGACTTGCCGCTGATATCTCCCGGGGCTCTGCCGGCTGCTGGTTGTGGCCCCCCGGGGCGATCCTCTGTGCCTCTCGAGGGGGGCGGGGGCCTTTCTGGTTGCGGGCTCCTTGGGGTTCCTGTGTTCTGGGGCAGCGCCTGGATCTCTGGGACTTGGAGCTCCCCCCCGTCTCCTACGCGTCTTTGGGGGGCAGATCTGTGGTCCCTCACACTCTCTATTGGACGCTCCTATAGATAAACCTTACATAAACAAGCGCGTGTACACACACAGGTGCTCACATGGTGCTCTCATAAGTATGGGCTTGGGCACGTTCAACACATGTCTTAAGACTATGGTGGGCACTCAATGCACTGTGGTATATTATCGTGTGACTGTTTAGTTAAACAATGATTGATTATATATTTCTTCATCAAGTTGACGCAGTGATAGCTTGATTTTGTTATATTGGTGTTGTGTCCCATTTTTTTTGTTATGTTTTGCTTTTTTCTCGTCTCATTTTGCAGGTCTAGAAGCAGACTCTTGTTCATTATTGTTTATTTTTGTTGAATCCCCCCCCCCCACCTAACCCCCTCTCTCCCCACCTTTTCTCTTTTCCTTTCTCTTTCACCTCTGTCTCCGTGTCTGGTCGAAATTACAAAGCATTCAAAAACAATAACAATAAAGTTTTAAATATCAGGTGCGACATTAAAAGCAGACTCTTTGATGCTCCACCTGAGACATTAAAAGCAGATGCTCTGATGCTCCACCTGAGAGTAAAACTGTAAGGCTTGTTACCAGCATTCAGACATCAATTCTGCTTGCTTCACAGCCAGACAGGACACGTTAAAAAAAAAAAAAAAAAAAAAAAAAAAAAAAAGAGATGTAGGGACACAGACATGTAGGGACACAGCAGACATGTAGGGACACAGACATGTAGGGGACACAGTTATGTAGGGACACAGCAGACATGTAGGGGACACAGACATGTAGGGGACACAGAGATGTAGGGGACACAGTTATGTAGTGACACAGCAGACATGTAGGGGACACAGACATGTAGGGGACACAGACATGTAGAGGACACAGAGATGTAGGGACACAGAGATGTAGGGACACAGACATGTAGGGGACACAGTTATGTAGTGACACAGCAGACATGTAGGGGACACAGACATGTAGGGGACACAGAGATGTAGGGGACACAGACATGTAGAGGACACAGAGATGTAGGGACACAGAGATGTAGGGACACAGACATGTAGGGGACACAGTTATGTAGTGACACAGCAGACATGTAGGGGACACAGACATGTAGGGGACACAGACATGTAGAGGACACAGAGATGTAGGGACACAGAGATGTAGGGACACAGACATGTAGGGGACACAGTTATGTAGTGACACAGCAGACATGTAGGGGACACAGACATGTAGGGGACACAGAGATGTAGGGACACAGCAGACATGTAGGGACACAGACATGTAGGGGACACAGCAGACATGTAGGGACACAGACATGTAGGGGACACAGTTATGTAGTGACACAGCAGACATGTAGGGACACAGACATGTAGGGGACACAGACATGTAGGGACACAGCAGACATGTAGGGGACACAGTTATGTAGTGACACAGCAGACATGTAGGGGACACAGACATGTAAGGGACACAGCAGACATGTAGGGACACAGACATGTAGGGACACAGACATGTTGGGGACACAGATATGTAGGGGACACAGTTATGTTGGGGACACAGACATGTTGGGAACACAGATATGTAGGGACACAGACATGTTGGGAACACAGATATGTAGGGACACAGCAGACATGTTGGGGACACAGATATGTAGGGGACACAGCAGGCATGTAGGACACAGACATGTAGGGGACACAGACATGTAGGGACACAGCAGACATGTAGGGGACACAGTTATGTAGTGACACAGCAGACATGTAGGGGACACAGACATGTAGGGGACACAGAGATGTAGGGACACAGACATGTAGGGACACAGACATGTTGGGGACACAGATATGTAGGGGACACAGTTATGTTGGGGACACAGAGATGTAGGGGACACAGAGATGTAGGGACACAGACATGTTTGGAACACAGATATGTAGGGACACAGCAGACATGTTGGGAACACAGATATGTAGGGACACAGACATGTTGGGGACACAGTTATGTAGTGACACAGCAGACATGCAGTGACACAGCAGACATGTAGGGGACACAGACATGTTGGGAACACAGATATGTAGGGACACAGACATGTAGGGGACACAGTTATGTAGTGACACAGCAGACATGCAGTGACACAGCAGACATGTAGGGGACACAGACATGTAGGGGACACAGTGTAGGGGACATGTTTTTAACCCAGCTTTGGTGGTGAAGGGAAGAGGAAGAGGAAGAGGATCAGGAAAAGGAAACCAACAGAAAAGAAAAGAGACACAGGGTCTCCCGGGACCTCCTAAAATCCTGGATGTGACTGAGCCAGCTGCTCAACTCCAGTACAGTTCTGGTACTGGCCTTGGTACTGGCTCTGGTTCCTATATGAAGCACTCTTGCTGGAGCTCAGTTGGAGGATGTAGTTGCCATGGTGAGGCTGTGTGTTTCCTGTCCTGTGATTGGCTGAAGGAGGTGTGGGTGGATGGACTAAGTCTCTCAAAGCTATGCTGTTTCAGTTCCTGAGTTGCAGATCGTCTCAGAGACACAGAGGCAACACTCTTCCCTGCTGCTCTCACCCGTCATCCTCCTCATCCTCCTACATCAGGAGCCGAGCTATTCTCCTCCACCTCTTCAAACAGACAGGCGTGTCTAACTCATTTCCTAACATCATCATCATCAAAGGAAGACAACAGGAAGTCCCCTGACCCTCACCCTGCCAGGTCACCATGGCAACGGTCATCAGCACACGATTCTCTGATGAGTATCAGCTGTACGAGGAATTGGGGAAGTAAGTTTCACCTTCATCATCGTCATCACTTTGATTTGTTACATAAGTGTTTTTATTTGATTTGTATTTATGTTAAATATTATTATTAATCATTCAGTAAAATGGGTTTCTCGTCCCTGGTGTGTGTGTGTGTGTGCGTGTGTGTGTGTGTGTGTGCGTGTGCGTTAGGATCAACTGAGCATTCTGCTCTTTTAGTGTGAAAAACTTGTTTGACGTGAAGATCTCAGTAAGTTGATGAGCAGACCGTTACCATGGTAACATGAAGACTGAATGATGTGATGAGTGCCAATATTAAGCTGAAAGATTTGAACATTTATAGATAATTGATTAGCTGCTATCAGAAAGAACAGCTGGATAAACGCAACGCTGGAGAGAAGCACCTTTCTGACCCGTCCCACTCACCATCCACCCACTTCCTCTCTCTCTCTCTCTCTCTCTCTCTCTCTCTCTCTCTCTCTCTCTCTCTCTCTCTCTCTCTCTCTCTCTCTCACACACATACACACACACACACACACACACACACACACACACACACACACACACACACACACTCAGAGTAACACACTTAATGCCAGGTCTCTTACATAATGTGATGGTGGGTGGCAGAATGCAGCTTTCATCAGAAACACTTTCAGCTGAAACTCAGCCTTCCCCCAGAGAAACCAGTAGCCCCAGTTCCTGATCCATTGTATCAACTGGAGGGAGAAGATCTAGTCCTCCATGTCAGCAGCAGAGCTGTGGCCTTGTTCACTCTTCTTTCTACAGTTCATGTTTCTACTCAGCTTATATGCTGGTGAAGGTTCTTAGTTATCCAGCTCTTGGTAATCCAAAGGGGTTTGACTGAAAGCAGCTCGACGTTTCGCTTCTCAGGAGGGGCTCGGAGTAGACCCGCTGCTCCTCCACATCAAGAGAAACCAGTTGAGGTGGCTCGGGCATATGGTCAGGATGCCTCCTGGACGCCTCCCTGGTGAAGTTTTCTGGGCACGTCCAACCAGGAGGAGATCTAAAGGTAGACCCAGGACACGCTGGAGGGACTTTGACTCTCAGCTGGCCAGAGAACGCCTTGGGATTCCCCGGAGGAGCTGGCCCAAGTGGCTGGGGAGAGGGTAGACTGGGCCTCTCGACTTAGGCTGCTGCCTCCATGACTTGACCCCGGATAAGTGGCCAAATATGGATGGATATAATTAACACTGCTTCCTGCGGTCAAAGGGGTAGATGAGACCAAAATGGAGGTGTTTACCCAGAGTGCACTGCAGCATCCACAGCTGATTCCAGCTGTAGTATTGTGGGGTAGGGCAGGTCATGCCAAGTTTACCAAGAAGTCCTCTGGAGACCAGAGTCCTTTAGAGTCTGATGTGAGACCTTCTGTCTGACACTTGGACCAAACTGAATTATGAATCCAGACCAGAACCTGACTGGAAAGCTGTGGTGGGACCTTTAGAGAGCTGAATATCTGCAAACATACAACGTAAAGAAGAGTGGGCCAGAACTAATTCAGAACCAGAACTGTGTGAGAGGCTGATGAGGTCAGACGGAGGTTTCCATCTACCGAAGGGGGTTCTGTTGAGATTGGGTCTTGTTTTCTGGTCTAGTCCAGAAAGGGTGAAGAGGTGTGATCCTGTCACCTAACCCTAACTCCAAAACTAAGTTTCCCAGAATGCATCTGGTGTGTCATCAAAAATAGGCTGTAATCGGGAGCCACACCCATCAGGTTCCTGCTCCCTCACATCATCACACAAACATACACATAGGACCTTGGGGGGTGGGCAAGTCAGGGAGTGCGGGTATGGACCCCATTTCCGCATTCCTGTGACAACCTGCCCCCCAATTTTATTTGCACCTTATACACTTCCACCGACGACATTCCACACAAACACACACTTAGGGCCTTGGGAGTGAGCACATTCAACAGCATTTGGCAGGGGGATATTTCAGCCTCCTCCCGGGTGCCGGTGCCCACTTCCAATTTTAAACCGTACTTAGACACTGATGGCTGAGGGTGTAAGTGGGGTGGTGCAGTGGCATCCGCTGGCATAGGCCGGATGATGCCCGCACTGCCCACTCACCACAGCCATGGAATACACCTCATGATCACACAACACTATATTGGAGCAGGCGGAGGAAGACTAGGGGTCTTAGCCACCTCTGTTGTTGCTAGGCTTCCTGGGGCGGGAGGCTAGGAGGGAGATCTGGCCGTCTGGTTGGGGTCTGGGGTGGTGGGTTGCTGTGCTCAGCGTTGGGCGGGGGAGCTTTCTCATCAGCACCCCAGCAGAAAGGGTCAAACTCTGGTTACCGGTGATGGTTGTACCCAATGTGCAGCAGTACCGGGACCAGAGTGAATAGGGTGTGTATGGGGAGCATGAATGGGTGTCCGGCGTGCATTTTTGTAAGTCTTGGGTTGTATGTGCATGTGTGAGCATGAGGGAGGGAGTGTGTGACTGTGTTTGTGTATGACTGTAAATGTTAGGTGTGGCCTTTGACTCCTCCCCTCTCCTGGAACTTCTTTTGATGATATAGATCTTCGTCCCCCCTCCCCCTGCCACACCTGGTGTGAGGGGTTGTACCTTGGTCTGCCTGAGTGTTCGTGGCAACCGGGTCTGGGGGTTTAAGATTTTGGCATCTGCCTGATAGATCCCGGTGGCTGCCTGGTGGGGTCTGGGTCCCTGGGCTCTGCTGGGTCCCAGGCGGGGGTGGTCGCCCCTGGGTCCCGGGTCGCTGGGTTCCAGGGTGGGAGGCTGCGGGCGGGCCTGTGGGCTTGCCACTGATATCTCCTGGGGCTCTGCCGGCTGCTGGTTGTGGCCCCCCGGGGCGATCCTTTGTGCCTCTCGAGGGGGGCGGGGGCCTTTCCGGTTGCAGTCTCCTTCGGGTTCCTGTGTTCTGGGGCAGCGCCTGGATCTCTGAGACTTGGAGCTCCCCCCTTCTCCTGCGCATCTTTGGGGGGCGGATCTGTGGTCCCTCACACTCTCTGTTGGACGCTCCTATAGAGAAACCTTAAATAAACAAGCGCGTGTACACACACAGGTGCTCACATGGTGCTCTCATCAGTATGGGCTTGGGCACGTTCAACACAGGTCTTAAGACTATGGTGGGCACTCAGTGCACTGTGATTTATTATCGTGATTCTTCAGTTAAACAATGTTGATTATATATTTTCATCAAGTTGACGCAGTGATAGCTTGATCTTGTTGTATTGTTGTTGTGTCCCATTTTTTTATCCTTTTGCTTTTTTTTTGTCTTTTTCTGCAGGTTTAGAAGCAGATTCTTGTTCATTGTTTATTTTTGTGGAACCCCCCCTCTCCCCACCTTTTCTTTTCCTTTCTCTTTCACCTCTGTCTCCGTGTCTGGTCGGAATTACAAAGCATTCAACAACAATAACAATAAAGTTTTAAGTATCAGGCGTGACATTAAAAGCAGACGCTTTGATGCTCCACCTGAGAATACATCTTGTTACCAGCATTCAGACATCAATTCTGTTTACTTCACAGCCAGACAGGACACGGTAAAAAAAAAAAAAAAAAGAACAGGTGAACGGGAGTCTGAGCAGATAAATGCCATTTTCTGATCTCGTTAGATACGTGACATGGATTTAACTTGTGATGTTTGTGAACTTTAAAGGCATTTAAAGCCAACAAAGTGCTGATTTTCAACAGGCGGCAAAACATATTTTAGGTTTTGGATAATGAGATGTAGATGACTCCAAACTGTTCGTCTCACCAAATTAACAGTTTTAAACCAGACACAGAGACAAGGAGCTTAGTTTAGCTTTACACCCTTCTCCCAGGATGACAGAAGGATCATTAAAGGTGGAGAAACCCACCATGAACCTGGCTATGGTGTCAGTAACAGCTACACCGGGGGAGAGGAGATCCTGCTGTGACACAGATGACATGTCTGCCTTGAATGACCTGTTTTACAAGCTGATAAATCTAAAAGCACGTGACAGACATACTCAAAACACACATAATTACTTATCATTTAAACTGAAGTACAGCATATGTGTGATTCAGGGCGTAAGGCAAAGCGGACCAGAAATAAACCTTCACAGCCCTGTTCAGGGACCCATGAGCCGATCGGAGGTGGCTCCATACAGCTTACTCTCTTCATCTTGATGTGTCTGCTGATTGGTTCCTTCTGCTTTGTTTCCAGGGGAGCGTTTTCGGTGGTGCGGCGCTGTGTTAAGGTTCTACTGGGTCAGGAGTTTGCAGCCAAAATCATTAACACCAAAAAACTGTCTGCCAGAGGTGAGAAAACTAAGATCACACCCAGGTGTCTGCAACAGCACATGCCTACCTGCTATAACACTGTTCTGTTCAAACACACCTGCTACAACACACACCTGTTCAACACATGCCTGCTATAACGCATTTCATCAACACACACCTGATATAACACACACCTGTTCAACACATGCCTGATATAACACATCTGTTCAAACCGAACCTGCTATAACACATGTCTACCCATCACACCCCTGATATAACACACACCCTTTCAACACACACCTGATATAACACACACCTGTTCAACACATGCCTGCTATAACGCATTTCATCAACACACACCTGATATAACACACACCTGTTCAACACATGCCTGATATAACACATCTGTTCAAACCGAACCTGCTATAACACACACCCATTCAACATACACCTGATATACCACACACCTGTTCAACATACACCTGATATAATGCACACCTGTTCAACACATACCTGCTATAACACATGTCTCCTCATCACACCCCTGATATAACACACACCCGTTCAACACACACCTGATATAACACACACCTGTTTAACACAGACCTGATATAACACACACCTGTTTAACACACCCCTGATATAACACACACCTGTTTAACACAGACCTGATATAACACACCTGTTCAACACACACCTGATATAACACACACCTGTTTAACACAGACCTGATATAACACATCTGTTCAACACTCACCTGATATAACACACACCTGTTCAACACACACCTGATATAACACACACCTGATATAACACACACCTGATATAACACATGTCTCCTCATCACTCACCTGATATAACACACACCTGCTCAACACACACCTGATATAACACACACCTGTTCAACACACACCTGATATAACACATGTCTCCTCATCACACACCTGATATAACACACACCCGTTCAACACACACCTGATATAACACACACCTGTTCAACACACACCTGATATAACACATGTCTCCTCATCACACACCTGATATAACACACACCCGTTCAACACACACCTGATATAACACACACCTGTTCAACACACACCTGATATAACACATGTCTCCTCATCACACACCTGATATAACACACACCTGTTCAACACACACCTGATATAATGCACGAGAGTAGAGGTGGGTTTAAGCAGTGATTTCAGATCAGACAGTGAAGAGGCCTGTCTGCCATGGAGCTGCTTCAGCAAAATAACCATCTCCTCTAAGCTTATGCGTTGTCTTGTGGACAGTCAGCAGCAGCTGGTCAGCTGACCTGAGTGAATGTGAGGGGGTGTGTGGGTGAAGCAGCTCGCAAAGGTAAGGCGGGGCAAGGACATCAAGCAATTTAAAAGAAAAGAAAATCATTTTAAAACAAATCCTAAAAGGCTCAGGTAGCCAGTGCAACAAGTCCAGAACAGGGGTGATGTGATCAAACGTCCTTGTTCCTCCCTTGTTGTTTAGTTTAGTTTAGTTTAGTTTAGTTTAGTTTAGTTTTAGATTAGTTTAGTTTTAGTTTAGTTTAGTTTAGTTTAGTTTTAGTTTAGTTTAGTTTAGTTTAGTTTAGTTTAGTTTAGTTTTAGTTTAGTTTAGTTTAGTTTAGTTTAGTTTTAGTTTAGTTTAGTTTAGTTTAGTTTTAGTTTAGTTTAGTTTAGTTTAGTTTTAGTTTAGTTTAGTTTAGTTTAGTTTAGTTTTAGTTTAGTTTAGTTTAGTTTAGTTTAGTTTTAGTTTAGTTTAGTTTAGTTTAGTTTTAGTTTAGTTTAGTTTAGTTTAGTTTTAGTTTTAGTTTAGTTTAGTTTAGTTTTAGTTTAGTTTAGTTTTAGTTTAGTTTAGTTTAGTTTTAGTTTAGTTTAGTTTTAGTTTAGTTTAGTTTAGTTTTAGTTTAGTTTAGTTTAGTTTAGTTTAGTTTAGTTTAGTTTAGTTTTAGTTTAGTTTAGTTTAGTTTAGTTTTAGTTTAGTTTAGTTTAGTTTAGTTTAGTTTAGTTTAGTTTTAGTTTAGTTTAGTTTAGTTTAGTTTAGTTTTAGTTTAGTTTAGTTTAGTTTAGTTTAGTTTTAGTTTAGTTTAGTTTAGTTTAGTTTAGTTTAGTTTTAGTTTAGTTTAGTTTAGTTTAGTTTAGTTTTAGTTTAGTTTAGTTTAGTTTAGTTTAGTTTAGTTTAGTTTTAGTTTTAGTTTAGTTTAGTTTAGTTTTAGATTAGTTTAGTTTAGTTTAGTTTAGTTTAGTTTAGTTTAGTTTAGTTTAGTTTAGTTTGGGGATATTGAACAAAGACTGTGTTAAATGTGAGGATGATGCAGCCGTGGTTTTGTAGACAGAGGCTAATTTGCAACCCTTGAGTTTTAGAGGCAATCAGATAACAGCATTTATAGCATTTATCACCACACACACACACACACACACACACACACACACACACACACACACACACACACACACACACACACACACACACACACACACACACACACACACACACACACACACACACACACCAAATCCATGTATATACATTAGTTTAGCAGATAAGAAACATCCGTGTTCACAGGTTTGTTTTGGTTTCAGCCATTTTTTCATCTGCGAGTTAAACGTTGTAAAATGTGTTAACAGCTTTATTGCTGATGGTAGACGGTTCCACATCTGAGATTGTGTAAATGAGAACAAGGATTGACCAAATGAAGTTAGTATTTGCAGTCATCGTTGGCCACTCTGGTTGTAGCTCCTGTGCTGCTGGCTTTTATCATCAGTCTGCTCACCAGCTCTGGAACAAAGCCTTTTAGACATTTGAATGTCAGTTTTATCACAGAAGTTTATAAAGTTATGGAAACTTAGGAGATTGTATTTTACAGTAGTGTCACTTCTTTGGTTTTTGGTCCAGGGATTGTAGGGCTTGTTTTACAGCAGTCTGGGTTGCTTGGATCCAAACAGTTACACTGTAAGAGAGGTAAGACAGGAGACAGGTGAGACAGGATTGTGGCATGTGGGTAAAGTTGGACAGCTTTCACAGGTAAATTTGGCCTTATCAGGTGAACACAGCTGAGCTTGGTCCTAATGGTTCTGGACACTTTTCTGATGTGGGACTCAAATTTAGGATGAGAATCCAAAACAACACCCAGATGTTTAAACATCCACTTGTTGGATTTCTTTGTGGTCAATGAAGACGGTGAAGTTGTCAGAAACTGGAGACGGTTTTGCTGTAGTTCAGGGTCAAAAGGTTATTCTTTACCCAGTGAGACACCCCCACCACCTCACTGCTAGTGAGGCAAGCACCAACAGCTAGCATTTTTAAATCACGCTTGAAAACTCACTATTTCAACCTAGCGTATACCACATAATTATGAACCTCACAACTACATTGTTTAAAAATGGAATTCACAATATCAACTTCGTATTATTGAGGTTCTTTTTAAAATGTTTTCCTAATTTTTTATTCTCCCTGTGTTTTATTGATTTTTAGCTGTTAGTTTTGGGAATTTTGTTGTATTTCCTTTTTATCTTTTATCTGTGTTCAACATGATATACTGTATAACGCCGGTTTAATTAACTAACATTTTTAGTGTACAGCACCTTGTTAGGTAGTAATGCCTTGTTGAATGCGCTGTATAAATAAAATTGGATTGGATTCAGTAACTTTACAGCCTGCTGCGGAGTCTTTGATGTTACATAGATGATGGCATCATCAGCATACATTTGGCATTGGACACCTTTACAACTGTTGGGTGAGTCATTCATGTATAGACACAACAGTAATGGACCTAGGATGGAACCTTGTGGAACTCCTATTGTACAGTTTTTAACGCTTGATTTAATTCCATTAACTTTGACACTCTGTTCTCTGTGTTTTAGATATGATCTGAACCAGTTAATAACTGAGAACATTTCATTTGCTGAGTTTATGTAGGAGCCTCTCACGATTTACTGTGTCAAAGGCTTTTTCAGATCTGAGAAAACTGCTCCAACTACATTAGCATTGTCTAAAGAATGTTTAATGTTTTCGGTGAGAAAGGTGGTAGCCAGTTTAGATGAGTAACCTGAGAAAAACCCAAACTGTTCTGGATGCAGTAGCTGATTTTTATCCAGGAAACCGATTAGCTGCTCTGCTGAGGATTTTTTCCATATCTTTGGATGTGACTGGTAAAAAAGGGATTGGTCTGTAGTTACTGATGTGGTCAGAGTGGCCGGATGTCAGAATTGGAGTTATGACACCTTTTTTGAAGCCTTCTGGAAATTCCCCTTTTGTACATGATAAGTTTATAAGCCTCTCCCTGGGCTGCCACCTAACCATGGTGAAGGGGTTTGAGTGTCCCAATGATCCTAGAAGCTAAGGCTGTCTGAGGCTTTCTGCCTCTGGTAGGGTCACCCATGGCAAACAGGTCCTAGGTGAGGGATCAGACAAAGAGCAGCCCAAAGACCTCTTATGATGAATAATGATGAATAATATAAATGGAAACCGTGTTTCCTCGCCTGGACATGGGCTCCCCCCCACCCACCCCCCGGAGCCGGGCCTGGAGGTGTGGCATGTTGGCGAGCACCTGGTGGCCGGGCTTTCATCCCATGGAGCCCGGCCGGGCACAGCCCGAAGAGGAAACGTGGGTCCCCCTTCCCATGGGCTCACCACTCGTCGGAGGGGCCAAAGGGGTCAGGTGCAGTGTGTGACGGGTGGTAGTCGAGGACGGGGACGTTGGCGGTCTGATCCTCGGCTGCAGAAGCTGGCTCTTGGCACATGGAATGTCACCTCTCTGGTGGGGAAGGAGCCTGAGTTGGTGTGTGAGGTTGAGAGGTTCCGACTAGATTTAGTCGGACTCACCTCAACGCATGGCTCTGGCTCTGGAACCAGTTTCCTTGAGAGGGGTTGGGCTTTCTACCACTCTGGAGTTGCTCCCACTGAGAGGCGCCGAGCAGGGGTGGGCATACTAGTTACCCCCATCTTGGTGCCTGTACGTTGGGACTTACCCCAGTGAATGAAGGGGTAGCCTCCCTCCACCTACGTGTGGGGGGATGGGTTCTGACTGTGGTCTGTGTTTATGTACCAAACTACAGTTCAGACTACCCACCCTTTTGGGAGACCTTGGAGGAGGTGCTGGAGAGAGGTCCTTCCGGTAACTTCCTCGTTCTGCTGGGGGACTTTAACGCTCACGTGGGCGACAACAGTTAGACCTGGAGAGGTGTGGTTGGGAGGAACGGCCCCCCTGATCTGAATTTGAGCACTGTTTTGTTATTGGACTTCTGTTGCCAGTCATGGATTGTCCATAATGAACTCCATGTTCAGACATAAAGGTGTCCATGTGTGCTCTTGGCACCAGGATACCTTAGGCCGCAGCTCAATGATCGACTTTATTGTTGTTTCTTCTGATCTGCGGCCGGCCGCATGTCTTGGACACTCGGGTGAAGAGAGGGGCGGAGCTGTCAACTGACCATTACCTGGTGGTGAGTTGGCTCCGATGGTGGGGGAGGATGCCGGTCAGACCAGACAGGCCCAAACGTATCGCAAGGGTCTGCTGGGAACGTCTGGCAGAGTCTCCTGTCAGAAGGAGCTTCAATTCCCACCTCCGACAAAACTTCCAAAATGTTCCGGGGGAGGCGGGGGACATTGAGTCTGAATGGACCCTGTTCCATGCCTCCATTGTTGAGGCGGCCGACCAGAGCTGTGGTCGCAGGATCGTCAGTGCCTGTCGTGGTGGCACCAACGATGGTGGTGGTGGTGCTAGCAACACTATTCAACCACCTCTTGGAGCGATGACAGAGTCACGGGTTCAAAGCTGTCAAAACGAGAAGACCAGAGAACAGAACCTGAGTGTCGTTGGGCAGCAGGGGAACTCTGAGCCCTGATAGAAGTGATTTTCTTTGTAAAAGAGTGCAGAAAGTTTTCACAAGCAGCAGGTGATGGTGCCATGCAATCTATGTGTTGAGCATTAGGAACAAAGTCAATGGTTTTAAATAAAACACATGGATTGTGACCATTTGATACAACCAAATCAGACAAGTGCTTTCTTTCAGCACCTTTCACACTTTTATGGTAACAATCCTTCAACATTTGAAATGAGATCGCGAGTTTGTCCTTTAAATGAAACTGGACCAATCTGCAACTGTGGCAGAACAATCAGGTTCTCTCTCAAGGCTAAGCTTTGTGTCATGAGTCACAGCTGCTGGTGCATGCTCCATCCATTCTTCTGTCATCCATCCATCCTTCTGTCCATCCATTCTTCTGTCATCCATCCGTCCTTCTGTCATCCATCCATCCTTCTGTCATCCATCCATCTATCCTTCTGTCCTTCCATCCATACACCCTTCTGTCATCCATCCTTCCATCCGCCCTTTTGCGCATCCATTCATCCATCCATGCTTCTAGCCATCCTTCTGTCCATCCATTCTTCTGTCATCCATCCATCCGTCCTTCTGTCATCCATCCTTCCACCCGTCCTTCTGTCATCCATCCTTCCACCCGTCCTTCTGTCATCCATCCTTCCACCCGTCCTTCTGTCATCCATCCTTCCATCCGTCCTTCTGTCCATCCATCCATTCATCCATCCATCCTTCTGTCATCCATCCATTCATCCATCCATCCATCCGCCCATCCATCCTTCTGTCATCCATCCATCCATCCATCCTTCTGTCCTTCCATCCATACACCCTTCTGTCATCCATCCTTCCACCTGCCCTTTTGCCCATCCATTCATCCATCCATGCTTCTAGCCATCCTTCTGTCCATCCATCCATCCATCCATCCATCCATCCATCCATCCATCCATCCATCCATCCATCCATCCACCCATTCATCTTTCTGTCCTTCCATCCATACACCCTTCTGTCATCCATCCTTCCATCCGCCCTTTTGCCCATCCATTCATCCATCCATGCTTCTAGCCATCCTTCTGTCCATCCATTCTTCTGTCATCCATCCATCCGTCCTTCTGTCATCCATCCTTCCACCCGTCCTTCTGTCATCCATCCATCCGTCCTTCTGTCATCCATCCTTCCACCCGTCCTTCTGTCATCCATCCTTCCACCCGTCCTTCTGTCATCCATCCTTCCATCCGTCCTTCTGTCCATCCATCCATTCATCCATCCATCCTTCTGTCATCCATCCATTCATCCATCCATCCATCCGCCCATCCATCCTTCTGTCATCCATCCATCCATCCATCCTTCTGTCCTTCCATCCATACACCCTTCTGTCATCCATCCTTCCATCTGCCCTTTTGCCCATCCATCCATTCATCCATCCTTCCAGCCATCTTTCTGTCCATCCATTTCTGCTTCAGCAATAGAACCCCCCAGCCACCAATTTTTCATAGAGGAAGACAAACACATGTTCACACACACACACACACACACACACACACACACACACACACACACACACACACACACACACACACACACACACACACACACACACACACACACACACACACACACACACAGAGAGAAAACTGACAGAATCAGTAGAGCTGTGGATGCTTTTCTGGGAATTATCACTATTCTGGTTCTTAGACGGCCTTTGGTTGCCTAGCAATTGCCTGCAAAGTTGTCAGAGTGTGTCTCTGTGTATGCAGCGCTTCAACGCTGTTATATAACGGAGTGTCCTTGCAGCTGTTTAACACACCTGAGCGGTTACACACCTGAGATTCCCTTTTTATTCCTTCCGTTTTTAGAAAACACAAAGAGCGTGGATCAGAGAGAATCTAACCACAGCAGGTTTCTCAATGTGTGTGTGTGTGTGTGTGTGTGTGTGTGTGTGTGTGTGTGTGTGTGTGTGTGTGTGTGTGTGTGTGTGTGTGTGTGTGTGTGTGTGTGTGTGTGTGTGTGTGTGTGTGTGTGTGTGCGTGCGTGCGTATGTTACAGATCATCAGAAGTTGGACCGTGAAGCTCGAATTTGTCGACTACTGAAGCACCCCAATATCGGTGAGTAACCTAACCACCATGGTTCTCGTGAGCAAACAAGAAGAGACTTTCTAAACCTGGTCTAGTAACACCAGATCCAGTAAATCCAGATCCAGTAAAACCTGGTCCAGTAACACCAGATCCAGTAAAACATGGTCAAGAAAAACCTGATCTAGTAAATCCAGATCCAGTAAAACCTGGTCCAGTAAATACAGATCCAGTAAAACCTGGTCCAGTAAATCCAGATCCAGTAAAACCTGGTCCAGTAAATCCAGATCCAGCAAAACATGGTCCAGTTTAACCTGGCCCAATAACACCAGGTTCAGTAAATACAGATCCAGTAAAACCAGGTCTAGTAAATCTAGATCCAGTAAAACCTGGCCCAGTAACACCAGGTTCAGTAAATCCAGATCCAGTAAATTTGGTCCAGGAAGACAATATCCAGTAAAACCTGGTCCAGTAAATCCAAATCCAGTAAAACCTGGTCCAGTAACAGTTCCAGTAAAACCAGGTCCAGTAAATCCAGATCCAGTAAAACCTGGTCCAGTAACACCAGGTCCAGAAAATGTAGATCCAGTAAAACCTGGTCCAGTAACACCAGGTCCAGAAAATGTAGATCCAGTAAAACCTGGTCCAGTAACACCAGGTCCATGGATGATGAGGTTCTGTATTTTAGTTCAGTTCTTCCCACACAGAAATCTGAAGGTGTGCAGCTGAACCCCAGCTGTCTGCACCGAGCTCTGACCCAAACCTGTACCAACACAGAACCAGGATTTTGGACTTGGTATTCACACTAAAGGGGGTGGAGTAGAAATCTCTCTGCTTTATTGTATTTATTTGAGGGCATGAGGTCTAGAACTATGTCCTATGGGTCATGGACCTAGGCCCTCCCTGTAATGGTCCTACGCCTGTGGTTCAAACCTAACCTGTCAGATTTTCACAATAAAAGTCCTGAGGCTGAAGCAGAAAAAGCAGTTTAGGATCTTCGGAAGACATACAGACTGAAATAAGATCAGCTAAATGTTCAAATATGACCTCACATGAACTCAGTGGGCCAATCAGCAGGCTGTGAGTGAGTTGAGCATCCAATCAGAGAGCTGCGTGGGCAGGTGATGCTCCGCAGATACCAGCAGTGTTACATAACTGTGTGTGCCTGTGTTGCTAAGCAATAGTGCCCATAGGTGAAGACATTAAAACCATCCATCCACCTACACACACACACACACACACACACACACACACACACACACACACACACACACACACACACACACACACACACACACACACCTGTGTAAAAGCACTCAGAAAGAAGTAATCAGGTATTCTCTTGAAATACTCCTACACATTGCAGCAATGGAAATTAATGTGTGCACCACGTGTTCTAAGTGTGTGTGTGTGTGTGTGTGTGTGGGGGGGGGGGGGGGGGGGGGGGTTATATAATAAAAGCAAAGAACAGATTCAGATACCAGGCAATCCGCTTCTGCAGCTATATCACCTGGCCAGGTGCATTAACAGCTGTCTGACAAAGCCTAGGTCCCATGAAACACTCAGATAGATTGCTGTCAGTCTTATATTTTGAAAGTCATACCACTGTATAAAACGGGGTAAGCATCACTTCACAAACTACAAACCTGTTTCCTTACATCCTCAATTTGCCAAGATACTGGAAAAACTGTTCACTTACCGCCTAGATAAATGTTTAGAAAAACATAAACTACTTACTAACAGTCAATATGGATTTAGAGCTAATTGTTCAACACCACTGGCACTAATTGAAACACTAAAGGACATTACAAATGCTATAGATCAGAAAAAGTGTGCAGTAGGAGTATTCATTGATCTAAAAAAGCATTCTACACAATCAATCATAATATCCTACTAAATAAACTGGAACGCTGTGGAATCAGGGGGGTGGTACTAGACTGGATCAGGAATTATTTGACCGACAGGAAGCAGTTTGTGAAGTTGGATGGAATCAACTCATCCTGCTAGGACATTGTTTGTGGTGTTCCCCAGGGGTCAGTGCTTGGTCCAAAACTGTTCATTCTTTATATTAATGACATCTGCAAGGTGTCACAAACATTAAAGTTAATTTTATTTGCAAATGATACAAACACATTCTGGACTAAAAGTCACTCCATACTGTTCACTGATTTCCACACATTGAAGTTACTGTATGGAGGTTTGGGGAAACACCTATAAATGTGCATTATCATCATTATCTGTGTTACCAGATATAGTTCAGCTTCAAACAGCACAGCTGATGTATGAAGTAAACAATAAACTACTTCCAGACAACATATTAAAGCTCTTTCATAAAAGGGAGGGGAGATATCAGTTAAGAGGGGAGTTAACATTAAACATGCTTGAGTCCGAACATCATTAAAAACTGTGTGTGTGTGTGCGTGCGTGCGTGCGTGCGTGTGTGTGTGTGTGTGTGTGTGTGTGTGAAACTGTGGAACAGAATGAGTGATGAACTGAGACAATGTCCAAACATGATGCTGTTTATAAAAAGACTTAAAGGGCCTCAGAGTCCTTCTCCACCCACGTATCAATTTTGAAAATTGCATCATAAGTAGGCGTTGCCTGGCAGACCGAGAGGGCGGAGCCACGGCAGTGACGATGACGGATGGGTAACGAGACGAAGCTAGCTCCCTTCACTCTAAGCAGTTATTAGAAGTGAAGGACATTTCTCCCCCTCCTTACACAGACAATCGAGAAGAAAGGGACCAAGTCTATTTGGAGGAGACAAGCGGACCTGAGCCTTGGTGTTTTGAGCTTGTGAGTTGCCTGAAACTACCGGAGCCGACCCTCATCTCCCACCTCAATCATAACAACCTTTTTGAACAGTTCCAGTCTGGTTTTCGCCCTCGACACAGCACAGAAACTGCTCTTGTTAAAATCACAAATGACCTTCTCATGGCAGCTGACTCCGGTTTTCTTTCTCTACTCATCCTTCTTGATCTTAGTGCAGCTTTCGACACCATCTCTCACTCAACCCTTCTTAACCGGTTAGCTTGCCTTGGTATCACTCACACTGCTCTCGCCTGGTTCTCCTCCTATCTCACTGGCCGATTTAAATTAAAATCCTTTTCTTCTCACCCTGTTGCTGTTTCTGCCGGTGTTCCCCAGGGCTCTGTCCTTGGACCTTTCTTATTTATCATCTACATTCTTCCACTTGGCCATATCTTTCGCAAATACAAGATAAATTTCCACTTCTACGCAGATGACACTCAAATCTATATCTCGTCTCAACCCGATGCTATCTTCCCTCCAGTCTCCCTATCCAGCTGTCTCCTTGAGATAAAATCATGGTTCTCTTCAAACTTCCTGAAACTCAACAGCAATAAAACCGAAATTCTACTCATAGGCAAGCCCTCCACGCTGAACATATCCCCCAGCATATCAATTAACATCGAAAATTCCTCCATCCTTTCCTCCCCCCATGTAAAGAGTCTTGGAGTCATCCTTGACAGCACTTTATCATTCAAAGCCCACATCAACAACATCATTCGCTCAGCCTACTTTCATTTACGCAATATCAACCGACTCCGCCCCTCTCTCACTCCTCATGCTACAGCATCCTCGTACACAGCCTAGTCACTTCTAGGACTGACTACTGTAACTCTCTCCTTTTTGGTCTCCCCCATAAATCCCTCCATCGGCTCCAACTCCTCCAAAATGCTGCTGCACGGATCATCACTCGTACCCCCTATAGAGATCACATCAGCCCTGTTCTTCAGCGTCTCCACTGGCTGCCTACTGAACACAGAATCTCATTCAAAATCCTGCTTCTCACCTACAAATGTATCCACTGTCTCGCCCCTCCGTACCTCTCCGATCTCATCCATGTTGCTGTCCCATCTCGCTCCCTCAGGTCTTCCTCTGCCATTCACCTTGTGGTTCCTCCCGCTCGTCTCACCACTGCTGTAAATCGAGCTTTCAGTCGCTCTGCTTCTCGGCTCTGGAACTCACTTCCTCCTGACATCCGAAACGCTCACTCCCTCCTCTCATTCAAATCCAAACTCAAAACTCACCTGTTCAACCTGGCTTACACTCTCTAGCGCACAAACTCTTTACTCTGAAATTTATATCATACTTTTTGTAATTTTATTGTTTAAATTATCTTATTCTTATTTGTGTGTAAGTTTTATCATGTTTTGTGAGGTGACCTTGGGTTTTGAAAGGCGCCTATACATTAAATGCATTATTATTATTATTATTATTATATTGTGCTGCAGTTCGTCTCCATGACAGCATCTCAGAGGAGGCTCATCACTACCTGATCTTTGACCTGTGAGTGTTTCTTGTGCTGATTAGAACGTTTGGTTTATTTTCTACTAAACTGATTTGTTTCAACTCACGCTGATGTTTTGTGTTTCAGAGTCACAGGCGGAGAGCTGTTTGAAGATATCGTAGCCAGAGAATATTACAGTGAAGCTGATGCCAGGTAGAAAACACACACACACACACACACACACACACACACACACACACACACACACACACACACACACACACACAGTTAAAGCTGCTCTGCTCTACCTGTGATCTCTGACCTTTCTGCAGCCACTGCATCCAGCAGATATTGGAGGCGGTGCTTCACTGTCATCAGATGGGCGTGGTCCACAGGGACCTGAAGGTACTAACCCTAACCAGGTTGAAAGGTGGTAGGAGATGCTTTTCTGGAGCATGCTATCCACTTACCAATACATTAGATGGTTTATCAAAAAATCTATCAAAAACTAAATATTTTTAATAACTTCTAATTCTAGAAAAAAATCATGCAATCAGTGTGAACATCCTGTTCTTAATGACTGGATTCTGATCCATCAGTTTCTTCTTATTATGTAATATTATGGCCACAAAGGGCAGTGGGGTCTGAATGACATTTCATTAACCCTGTAAAGCATCACTTTAGCACATACTGAATCAAGAAAAGGATTTAAAAATATGAAAGATTTGCATAGTATGGCTTTAAAGGGGCAATATGTAAGATTTCTACTGTGAAAACAAGGAAACTGCTTAGTTAGATCTGGACAAGTGGGGGAGTAGATGTCTATGTCTGACCAATGTCACCCAACCTGGACCGGGTCCCGATGTGGAAGCAGCATGAAATATCCTGTACTGGCTAGGGATGCAGCCAAAACAGAGTTTGGGGTATTTTTCACGAGGAAGCAATATTAATGGGTAAAAAGCTCCAAACAGTGGATTTTCCATTATATGGCCCCTTTAACAAAAAGATAAACTGAACCCAGTTTATCTTTATATAGATGGTAAAGTGCAGTTACACTGATCGTCATGCAGAGTCTAGCCAGTACTTCTAAGGATTTGTTTGAAGCTTCATTGTTTGTTTACCCCGTAATGGAACAGCACCAGTTTACTTGTTTCACATGCAGCTGTATGTCCCTGCACGCCCTCTTTGATTTAAGTCTGTGGAAAAAACACTTTTATTCTCTGGCTTTTGTTTTTGTGCGTTATTTGTTGATGCTGTCTTCCCTCTTTTTTGCTATGAGTGTGATGTTTTTTATACACAACGTGTTTATGATGATCTTAGGTGATTTTCTATGTGCAGGCATGGTTTAGGGGGCTCATGGGTTTGGACCTTTCAATTGTGGACATTCAACAGTAGCTTGCTTGAACAAGAAGAAAAAATCTCCAGCTGCACCTTTAAATGTGATGAGCTCCATGATTAGACTTAGTTTTTATGTTAAATCTGTGCGATGTTCTGTTAGCATTTCAGCATTCGTTATACAAACCAATGGGAAGATTAGCATGCTAGCATGTGTTTTGTGTCTGCAGCCTGAGAACCTGCTGCTGGCCTCAAAGTCTAAAGGAGCAGCGGTGAAACTGGCCGACTTTGGCCTCGCCATCGAGGTGGAGGGAGATCAGCAGGCCTGGTTCGGTAAGACAGTCCTGAGACCTGGGCCCTCATTTATCAACCGTACCTGCACACAGATCTGTCTGTGTGTGTGTGTGTGTGTGTGTGTGTGTGTGTGTGTGTGTGTGTGTGTGTGTGTGTGTGTGTGTGTGTGTGTGTGTGTGTGTGTGTGTGTGTGTGTGTGTGTGAACTAACACACACACAGATCTGTGTTATTCAGCAGAGCGTGACCTCTGAAGGGAATGTCCTCCATGAGCGCTCCGATCTGCTCCCTGAAGGAGCTCTGCTGCGTGTGGAGCGACAGACAAACCACACGAATCTAAACATCTAGTCCCAATCCTATCTTACATCTTTGAGAACCTCCTCTGCTCCCCAATCGTACACGTGTTACCATGGTAACCAGACTGAACGGCAGCTCAGACATTTCCAAATAAAACTACCGTATTTTCCGCACCATAAGGCTCTATTAAAACCTTTGATCTTCCCCTAAACCGGCAGTGCACCTTTTAATACATGTATTAAGGACGTAAGTGAAGCCAGCCACACCTGCGTCTGCAGGAAAACAAAGAGCCAGCCCGTACCACCGCCCACCCTCACCAAATAAAAGGTGTGACACTGCTCCACACAGCTATACCGGTAACCAGCCATGGCACCAGCGATGAGACACGCTTGCAAGGAAGAGTTCAAGCTCAAAGCCATCACTCATGCCGTTGAACATGGAAACAGATACAGGATTAGCAACGGCGTGATCATCAAGGCGAACCCGAAGGGCTGGATGGATGAGGACATGATGGCGGGCGTGGCTGCGGGAGGTGTAAGCCAAAAGACGGGATGGCTTCTTCCACGCTTCTCCAGCCATGCTGATCTGCGACTCCATGCGGGCCCATCTCACCAGGTGAAGAGGATGAACACGGAGCTCACCATCATACCGGGTGGATTAACCAAAGAACTCCAGCCGCTGGACATTGGGGTGAACCCGTCCTTCAAAGCGAAAGTCCGAGCAGCGTTGGAGCGCTGGATGACTGATGGTGAACACACGTTCACCAAGACGGGCAGGCAGCACCGATCGAATTATGCCACCATCTGTGAGTGGATCGCTGATGCCTGGGCCAACGTTTCCGTCCAGACTGTTGCTCGAGCGTTCACCAAGGCCGGGATCACAACGGGAGAGCCGAGCAACGACAGTGACATTGACTCTGACGACGATGAGCCGGGCGCGGGATTTTGAGGGATTCATGGACCAGGAATGAAAGTGAGCCTTATGTGCGGGCCAAACCTTTAACTAGGGCGCTGAGTGGCTGAGCGCCCTATAATCATGTGAGCCTTATGGTGCGGGGTTTTCCCTTGTGTGGTTCTGTTTTACAGCCATGTCTGCTTGTTTCTGGTGATCTGGTCCATTGAAATATGAACGAAAACATTAACATTCATCCATAAGCACTGTCCCTTTAACAGCGTTAACCATTTCTACTTCCTCACAGGCGGAGCTTCGTTATTATCTGTTTGGTGGGGTTTTCTATCGGTCTCAGTCTTTTCCTGTTTTACACTTTTTCCTTTGACTTGTCAACTGAACCGAATCCCACCTGAGTTACCATGGTAACCAGATGCCAAGGCAGCGGTCTGACTGAGTGCACGTGTGTTTCAGGTTTTGCGGGGACTCCAGGATATTTGTCTCCAGAAGTTCTGAGGAAGGATCCGTATGGGAAGGCAGTGGACCTCTGGGCCTGCGGTCAGCTTCCTGTCTGCTACTCTCTGTGTTTCATCCACCTTTGTTGTGTTCCTTCATTTCGGGTTTATTTGTGTGCAGCTGTTTATAATCTGTTTATTTATTTATCTGACAAAGAGGAGTAACCCCACGAGATCTCGTTTTGACGAGGGTCTCTTAAACAAAACCAAAACCCGACAGATGGCAGTCATGAGTATGCAGTTACTGAAAGAGAAAAAGTATTCAGTCATAAACATGATCAGAGCAATGAATAAATACTCAACAAAAGTATTTACAAAACAAGACACGCACCCGACATCCCATAGGTAAGTAAATGTTATTTCTGTAGCGCTCGTCACAGACAGAAAGTCATAACGTGCTTCACGTAGATCACAACAAATAACGTCACAACGACAAAAACAAAGTCATAACACGATAAATCTCCAGTACCACGATACAGCAAAGCACTGTGTATATGAACACATACAGTAAACACCATAGATGCTAACGACATGTTACCAAAGCCATAACATTTGTTTAAATCAAGACCATAACTAAAGAAGTAAATAATAAGAATCAAGTTAACAAATATAAATGACTAACATTTACAAAAGCAAAGATGTGTTAGAATTGCCTTTTGGATAGTATGAAAAGAATTCATTAGCATGATAAGTAACAGTATCATCAGCATAGAGATGAATATCACAGTTTAAGCTGCTCAGTGGAAGGTTGTTGATGAAAATTAAAAATAAAAGTCCAAGAGAGGGATTCCTTTGTCTATGTCGCCTGGCTACCCTTATAAAATACACAGTGATAACTATGATGAAGACAGGAATTAAAACATTAAAGTGAAGATCTGGGGAAGCCAAGGGCATACAGCTTATCTAGGAGAAGGTAATGGTCAACAAGATCTAATTCTTTGGTAAGATCTAGGAAGATGGCATCAGCGGACCTATGATTGCCAAAGCTAGAGGAAATATCATTAGTAAGTTTCTGAAGGGCTGTAATAGTGAAGAAGTGTTTCCTGAAGCCGGATTGACATTGAGAAAGTAAATTATCCTTGTAGAGATAGTCAGATGATTGAAGGAATATAATTTTCTCAATTCCAACGCATTATTAATAATTAATATTGGTTTGTAGTCGTTTATGTTCTGCCTATCATCTCCCTCCTCCTTGAACCGTCAACTTATCGTGGTGGAGGAGTTTGAGTGCCCTAATGATCCTAGGAGCTATGTTGTCTGGGGCACTTAGTGCCCCTGGTAGGGTCTCCCATGACAAATTGGTCTTAGGTGAAGGGTGAGACAAAGAATGGTTCGAAGGATCTTTCATGGCGGTTAAAACGAAGAGTCGGAGTACCCGGCCCGGAGGGTTACCGGGGTCCCACCCTGGAGCCAGGCCTGGGGTTGGGGCCCGTGAGCGAGCGCCTGGTGGCCGGGCTTTCGCCCATGGGGCCCGGCCGGGCCCAGCCCGAACCGGATACATGGGCTCGTCCAACTGTGGACCCACCACCCGCAGGAGGAACATGAAGGGTCCGGTGCAATGCGAATCGGGTGGCAGACCAAGGCGGGAGCCTTGGCGGTCCAATCCCCGGACAAGAAAACTAGTTTTTGGGACATGGAACGCCACCTTGCTGGCGGGGAAGGAGCCGGAGCTTGTGGCAGAGGTTGAGCGGTACCGGCTAGATATAGTCGGACTCACCTCGACACATTGCATTGGCTCTGGAACCCGAGACCTGGAGAGGGGTTGGACACTCTACTTTGCTGGAGTTGCTCCGGGTGAGAGGCGGAGGGCTGGGGTTGGCTTTTTGTTAGCCCCGAGACTCTCTGCCTGTGTGTTGGGGTTTACCCCGGGGGACAAGAGGGTAGCTTCCTTGCGCCTTCGGGTCGGGGAACGGGTCCTGACTGTTGTTTGTGCTTATGGGCCAAATATCAGTTCAGAGTACCCACCCTTTTTGGAGTCCCTGGGACGAGTGCTAGATAGTGCTCCATCAGGGGACTCCATTGTCCTGCTGGGGGACTTCAATGCTCACGTGGGCAATGACAGCTTGACCTGGAGGGGTGTCATTGGGAGGAACGGCCCACCTAATCTGAACTCGAGTGGTGTTTTGTTATTGGACTTCTGTGCAAGCCGCAGTTTGGCCATAACGAACACCATGTTCGAACATAAGGATGCCCACCGGTACACTTGGTACCAGGGCAGCCTAGGTCACAGGTCGATGATAGATTTTGTAGTCGTATCATCTGACCTGCGGCCGTATGTTTTGGACACCCGAGTGAAGAGAGGGGCGGAGCTGTCAACTGATCACCACCTGGTGGTGAGTTGGATCAGATGGCAAGGGAACATGCCGCGTAGACCTGGCAGACCCAAACGCATAGTGAGGGTCTGCTGGGAACGCCTGGCAGAAGAACCTGTCAAGACGGTCTTCAACTCCCACCTCCGGCAGAGCTTTGACCACGTCCCGAGAGCAGTGGGGGACATTGAGTCCGAGTGGGCCTTGTTCCACTCTGCGATTGTCGAGGCGGCTGTTGCTAGCTGTGGTCGTAAGGTGGCCGGTGCCAGTCGTGGTGGCAACCCCCGTACCCGCTGGTGGACACCAGAGGTTCGGGGAGCCGTCAGGCTGAAGAAGGAGGCCTACAGGGCGTGAATGGTCTGTGGGTCTCCGGAGGCAGCAGACAGGTACCGGATAGCCAAGCGGGGTGCAGCAGTGGCAGTTGCCGAGGCAAAATCTCGGGCGTGGGAGGAGTTTGGTGAGGCCATGGAGAAAGACTATCGATCGGCTCCAAAGAGGTTCTGGCAAACTGTCCGGCGCCTCAGGAGAGGAAGGCAGCAACTCGCTCACACTGTTTACAGTGGGGATAGGGAGCTGCTGACGTCAACTGAGGCTATAGTAGGACGGTGGAAGGAATACTTTGAGGAGCTCCTCAATCCCACCATTGCGCATTCCGAGGAGGAACCAGAGCTGGGAGGCCTGGGGATGGACTGTCCGATCTCGGGGGCAGAAGTTGCTGAGGTAGTCAAACAACTACACAGCGGCGGAGCCCCGGGGGCGGATGAGGTTCGTCCTGGGTATCTCAAGGCTATGGATGTTGTAGGGCTGTCATGGTTGACACGTCTCTACAACATTGCGTGGTCATCGGCGGCAGTTCCTAGGGAGTGGCAGACCGGGGTGGTGGTCCCCATCTTTAAGAAGGGTGACCTGAGGGTGTGTTCCAACTATAGGGGGATCACACTCCTCAGCCTCCCTGGAAAGGTCTACTCCAAGGTACTGGAGAGGAGGGTCCGATCGATAGTTGAATCTCAGATAGAGGAGGAGCAATGTGGTTTTCGTCCTGGCCGTGGAACTGTGGACCAGCTCTATACCCTTGCAAGGGTGATGGAGGGGGCATGGGAGTTTGCCCAACCAATCCACATGTGCTTTGTGGATTTGGATAAGGCTTATGACCGTGTCCCCAGGGGCACCCTGTGGGGGACGCTCCAGGAGTATGGGGTGGGTGGCTTTCTGTTAAGGGCCATTCAGTCCCTTTACCAGAGGAGCGTGAGTTTGGTCCGCATAGCCGGTAGTAAGTCGGACCTGTTCCCAGTGAGGGTTGGACTCCGCCAGGGCTGCCCTTTGTCACCGGTTCTGTTCATCACTTTTATGCACAGAATTTCTAGACGCAGCCGTGGTGTGGAGTGTGTCGAGTTTGGTGGCAGGAGAATCTCGTCTCTGCTTTTTGCGGATGATGTGGTCCTCCTAGCTTCATCCAGCTCTGACCTTCAGCTCTTGCTGGGTAGGTTCGCGGCCGAATGTGAAGCGGCTGGGATGAGGATCAGCACCTCCAAATCTGAGACCATGGTTCTCGACCGGAAAAGGGTGGCTTGCCACCTCCGGGTCGGGGGAGAGGTCCTACCTCAAGTGGAGGAGTTTAAGTATCTCGGGGTCTTGTTCACGAGTGAGGGTAGGAGGGATCGGGAGATCGACAGGCGGATTGGTTCGGCGTCTGCAGTGATGCGGACGCTGAGCCGATCTGTCGTGGGGAAGAGGGAGCTGAGCCAGAAAGCCAGGCTCTCGATTTACCGGTCGATCTACGTCCCAATCCTCACCTATGTTCATGAGCTTTGGGTAATGACCGAAAGAACGAGATCGCGGATACAAGCGGCCGAAATGAGTTTCCTCCGTAGGGTGGCCGGGCTCAGCCTTAGAGATAGGGTGAGGAGCTCGGACATTCGGGAGGGACTCGGAGTAGAACCGCTGCTCCTCCGGATCGAAAGGAGCCAGTTGAGGTGGTTTGGGCATCTGGTCAGGATGCCTCCTGGACGCCTCCCCGGGGAGGTGTTTCGGGCATGTCCTGCCGGCAGAAGGCCCCCGGGTCGACCCAGGACACGTTGGAGAGGTTACATCTCCAATCTGGTCCGGGAACGCCTTGGGGTCCTGCCGGAGGAGCTGGTGGACAAGGCCGGGGAGAGGACGGCCTGGAGCTCCCTAGTTGGGATGCTGCCCCCGCGACCCGGACCCGGATAAGCGGAGGAAGACGACGACGACGACGACGACGGCTATCATCTCCTCAGTGCAGTGGGATAACTGGCGCATTTCCGAGCACAGAGTGCATTAACGGGTTTTTAAATTACATTTAAAAGTTCTGCCAATGGAAAGGATAGTATATTTGAAGCTAGTTTAATAAACTTCCCTTTTTATACCATCAACCCCAAGTCCAGTGCTGGAAGGCATCGGGTTGATTCTCTGCTGAGAGAACCCGTTTACAGTAAAGGACTGATTACAAGGTTGAGCGTTAATATTAAGATTTGCATGAAAAATTGTGCTTGGAGAGAAAATCACATAAATGAATTATTATAATTTTCTCAAAAATGCTCACCGCTGAACAAAATGCTGCCTAAACTCATTACAGATCGCTGCTGGATCCAGAGGTGGAAGAGTACTAAAATGTCCTACTTAAGTACGAGTGCCAATACTATGATAATTTTTTACTCAAGTACAAGTAAAAGTACTTGCCTAAATTTTTACTCAAGTAAAAGTAAAAAGTATCGTAAATAAAATGTACTCAAAGTAAAAGTTACTTAGTTACATTTTTGTCAGCGTAAGGATGGCTACATCTAAGTAGTGCTAAACCAATATACCAGTTCACAATTTGCTTGTGTGTGCGCACACGCACACACACACACACACACACACACACACACACACACACACACACACACACACACACACACACACACACACACAGAGTTTGATGGAGGGATTTCTATCCAGTCAGTGAGAACAGGGCGTGCACATTGAATGAACGAGGTTTTTCTACGATTGTAGGTTTCAATTGTGATTAAAATTATTCTTTATTTTGAGAAAAAAATAATAATTTTTTAAGATGCCATCAGCATGTGAGGTGTCTCAATGTCCTCATGACAAAACTCTAACATGAGACTGTGCTCTAACCTGTCACATAATATAACAAGCCATTTCAGATGGACCGTATGACAGCTGCTAACGTTGGCCCTGCCCTACTTTACCTCTACATTACAGTTCCTTTATCCATGTCCTTCCTAGAGCTCCTCTCTGACCTTCATGCTTATGTAGAGCAGCTGATTTTTAAAGTTAGCAGAGTTCATCCTTGGTAGTGGGTTCACTCACTCATTTAACCCTTCACCACTGAAACCAGTTTGTTCATTCCAATCCTCCTAAATAATCCTCCAATCATCCAACTGGAATCCTTAAGGGTCCCGTAACGTCCATCCTGTCAGAACAGGCCTTGGGAGCCCAGGTGTTACTAGAACTAATGGTGTCTCCTCACCAGCGTGAGCCTCCAAACTGTGAAGGTTGGTCTCCAAACATGAACTTTAAATTCATGCATTTATTTCCTCTTGTAGCACTTAAACATGTTTTAAAAGGCATGTATCATGATATTGTAGCGTAGATTGCCGGAAGGAGTTTCAGCCAATGAGCACAGACACTGATGTCAACTTAGCAGTCAACAACTTTATTTTTACACTGAGCAGATCCCCACTCCATCTGCCAGCATGGAACACCAACTCACGGTTTGAAAGTAATACCAACTGACAGCAACAGATATAAAACACTAAACAAAAGTAAAACAATGCTAACATAACTCAGAACAATAAAGCTGTACAGAACACAACGAAAATGGAACAAACAACTGTGACCTACTCCCACAATGCACCACACCGCTGCTTAGCCTGGCAGTGGGCGGGATCACTGCACAAGTGGGCGGGGTCTCTACAATATGTTACACCTCCCAGACAAAAGATAGGTACAATATAAGATTAAATATTATCATAAACACTGTAGAGATGTCCTTATTTATGAAATATAAGTTATTTTCCTGAGCCATTAATTCAACCAAGAAATAAGATGTATGGATTTGATGAAACCACGCTGTCTCATGCAGTCCTAAATGTGTAACACACACACACACACACACACACACACACACACACACACACACACACACACACACACACACACACATGCACTGCAGCATGTTAGAATCATTTCAATGACTAATTTGACTACACTGAACTGCTTTTGTAGTAATTTAATCTCTTATTCTGGAGTAAAATAAAGAAACAAGCTGAATCATCACATATCTGCGGCAACAAGAAGCAGTGTTGGGAATGTTACTTTTAAAAAGTAATTAGTTATAGTTACTAATTGCTTTGTCAAAAAAGTAACTCAGTTACTTACCAAGTTACGAGATTATAAAAGTAACTAATTACCAAGAAAAATAACTACTGTACTTAGTTAATTTTCAATAAAGAATGCAAGAAAAATGGGTTCCCCTCTTAATTAAACTTACTTTATTTACTATAAATTACTACAATAGTGAAATATAAATGACTAATGACTGGAACATGATAAAATGTATGTCCAAATGTGTTTTATGAACCTGAATAATCTAAATAAATAAGCGCTTAACAGGAGGAACTACTAACAGGAACATTACACTAATCTAGACTATTAAAAGGTCACTGTGTGATATTTAACAAGACCCCAGTCAGCTAACATTTAAAATAGCAAATAGAAACACCTGTAAAGGTTCCCGAGCCTTTAAATGGTCTCTGTAAACTGTTAAATTACAGAAATGAATGTAAATTTGCACAGTATTTTAATTTTTCCAGCTTCACATAATTGTATGTTTTAGCAGCATTTCTGTTGCTGCTAATCTAGTAACGGTTAAATAAATAAATAAAATCCTTTAAAATGACACTAGAAGAGGCACAAGCCTGATGGAGGACTTACATTTACTAACTTGGGTCAGACCCAACCACAGAAGAGCTGAAGCTGGGTGGTAAACACACACAGGTAGTTCTGATAACACCTGAGCTCCATGCCGTCTGAGACTGATGCATCAGTGTTACAGCGGGACTAAAGACATGATCAGGAACAGGTTACAGCTGGATGATCTAGGAAGGTAGAAGATCAGGACGTCTGAGCGGTGAACAGGTGAGCGGACCTTCGGGACGTCCCGCTGTCACGCTAAGAAGGACACGGCTGCAGAGCCACACCTGCAGCCGTAAACTATTCATCACATCTTCCTCGTTCTTCACGGCCGTGATGCTCTTGGATGAAAACATCTACCTCTTTAGCTCCTGATCAGCTGATGACAGCTTCAACACACCGCGCTGCTTAACGCACGCATTTCCTTATCAGTAACAGAAATGACATTTTGATAAAAGAAGATGATAATTAATTAGATTGCTCGTTACTGAAAATTATCTATCTACAGTGGTGTGAAAAACTGTTTGCCCCTTCCTGATTTCTTTCTTCTTTTGCATGTTTGTCACACAAAATGTTTCTGATCATCAAACACATTTAACCGTTAGTCAAAGACAGCACAAGTAAACACAAAATGCAGTTTTATGATTGTCATATTTTGGTTTACTGGCGAATCAGAATTTGACATGCAGAAGAGGGCTTATACAAACACCACAGATAACCACGCCTAGCCAGAAACGAAGGTTCTGATTGGATCAGACAAAAGGAAATGTGTCGTGTGACTTTAGCATTGCCTGTCATCAGTGTCTAGTGCAAATGTCCAAGATTATAATTACTTTTAAAATACTACTGATCACGGGATTATAATATCAGGTACTAAACATTGTCATTTCACAGAGTAAACATTGGGCTCATATTATTATTGGTAATAACAAAGTTGTTTATGTGTTTATTAAAATAGTGTTCTTCGTCTATGTATTGAAGGTGAAGCAGTTCAGGTGAGCAGAGTGCATGAAAGACCTTGGCCACTACCTCATGTAGATTAACCTGCCAGAGACTTTATGTCTCTGCTCAAGCAGACACAGCAGATCGTGACCTTTAGGTCATAAACAGGACATTCATGACGCTACATATATATTTTTTAGTAACGCGGTTATTTTAAACGGCGTTATTCCCATCACTGCTCTGTTGTGTCTATAGCATGCAGTGACTGAGACAGCGAGAACACTGAGGGTCTCCGCCCACCCGGCCAATCATCATCGTGTTTGTAAGTGCGTTACCGACACCTCTCTCTCCCCGGCTGCAGCTGAAGTGTGGCGGTCAGAAAGCCTCACACTGTTGCTCAACGTTCCACAAGCACATAGTAACGCACAACCTTCCATCCCCAGTAACGGTAACGGCGTTGCAACAGTGGGAAAAGTAATTCATTAGATTATTCCGTTACCCAAAAAAAGAATGCCGTTATTTTAAATGGCGTTATTCCCATCACTGTCAAGAATCATCTTCTGAGTTCAAACACAGGGATGGAGCACAATGTTTACACCTGAACAGTATCAGGATGTTTTAACTCACAGAGGCCTGCAGGTCTTCTGTTTTATGAGCAAAGTGCTGAGAATCCGCTTGTTATGAGCGCTAAACAGTATTTTGCCCCTTCTGTGCGGAGCATTAAGGGAAACACATTTCAAACACAGAACCGAGTCCGGCTACCGAACCGAGCAGAATTCTGATGACGTCACACCGGTGCGCGAAGGTGCGGGTTCCAACCCACAGGAGAGGAGGGAGAGAGGAGGTAAACAGCGAGTGGATCACAGGGACTGAACTGATGTATTTGAGCAAAACTGCGGTAAAAATGGCTGTTTGTCCTCATTATCTAAAGTGTACCCCCCCCCCCCCTGTTTTAGACGCGGCGCTCGTGCAGGTGTCTCTTTTTGTTCGATGCTGCAACACGTAATATTTTTTATTTATTAAGCCTACAATTTATTTTTACTCAGTAACGGATATCATTTAAAATGTAGCGAATTACAATTCTTTTTAAAAAACGTACTCAAGTAAAAGTAAAAGTACAGATTTTCAAAACGACAAAAAGTATAAATACACAGCAAAGCTACTCAATTACAGTAACGTGTGTAAATGTAATTTGTTACTTTCTACCTCTGGCCGGATCATTAATAATCCCGTTATGGATTTTCATAATGCTAGTTGCAGACTTAACAGTCAAGTTATTGATTTTCCTCCAGAATTCTTTAAGGTCATTGATATTTTTGCAAGTATATTAATTACTGTGTGTGTGTGTGTGTGTGTGTGTGTGTGTGTGTGTGTGTGTGTGTGTGCGCACGTGCTGATTACTTGGTTTGTCTTCCCACCAGGTGTGATCCTATACATCCTGTTGGTGGGATATCCTCCCTTCTGGGATGAGGATCAACATCGTCTCTACCAGCAGATCAAGGCTGGGGCATATGATGTAAGAAATTTGACTCATTATGATGTCATCATAGTGGAGGTCATTTACTGGTTGGAGACAGATATGGGCGGGGCTTTGGCTCACTAATTCACAAACAATCCTATTCTCTATTTAATTCTTTTTGATTACATATTGTTCCCCTTCTTGCCTCCTAGTTTCCTTCTCCTGAGTGGGACACAGTGACTCCTGAAGCCAAAGACCTGATCAACAAGATGTTAACGATCAATCCAGCTAAACGCATCAGCGCCACAGAGGCCCTCAAACACCCCTGGATCTCTGTAAGACACACCTTCAGAAGTCACTGAAAGGGATGATGATGTTCATGACAGTGATGATAATGATGATGATGATGATGATGATGATAGTGATGATGATGGTAATGATGAAGATGATGATGATGATAGTGATGATGATGATGTTGATGATGAAGATGATTGTGATGATGATGATGATGATAGTGATGATAATGATGATGATGGTGATTTTAATGATGATGATGATGATTATGATGATGAAGATAGTCATGTTAATGATGATGATGATGATGGTGGTTATGATGATGATGCTGATGATGGAGATTTTAATGATGATGAAGAGTATGATGATGAAGATAGTGAGGATGATGATGATGATGAGTATGATGATTATGATGTTAATGATGATGAGTTTGATGATTATGATGTTAATGATGATGATGATGGTGGTTATGATGATGATGATAAAGAGTATGATGATGAAGATAGTGAGGATGATGATGATGATGAGTATGATGATTATGATGTTAATGATGATGATGATGAGTATGATGATTATGATGTTATTGATGATGATGATGGTGGTTATGATGATGATGATGAGTATGATGATTATGATGTTAATGATGATGATGATGAGTATGATGATTATGATGTTATTGATGATGATGATGGTGGTTATGATGATGATGATGAGTATGATGATTATGATGTTAATGACGATGATGATGAGTATGATGATTATGATGTTAATGATGATGATGATGATGGTGGTTATGATGATGATGATGATGATGATGAGTATGATGATTATGATGTTAGTGATGATGATGTGATGATGGTGGTTATGATGATGATGATGATGAGTATGGTGATTATGATGTTAATGATGATGGTGATGATGGTTATGATTTTGATGATGATGATGATGATGATGGTGGTTATGATTATGATGATGATGTTGATGATGACGATGAGTATGATGATTATGATGTTAATGATGATGATGATGATGATGGTGGTTATGATGATGGTTATGATGATGATGATGATGGTTATGATGATGATGATAATGATGGTGTTTTTCCCCAGCATCGCTCCACTGTGGCGTCTTGTATGCACAGACAGGAAACAGTTGAATGTCTGAAGAAATTCAATGCCAGGAGGAAATTGAAGGTGAGAATTTTCAAGTTTATTGTTTTTAAAAGAATATTTTAAGGATGATTCTGATCCAGTCAGAGTTCTGCTCAGGGCTGGGGGTTTGATTAATCTGAAGACGTGAATTCAGTCAGAATCTCTATTAGATTTTTTTATGTTTGAATCAATTTGTTGAGACAAAGAACGGTTCAGAAGATCTATCATGGATGTAAAAACAAAGAGTCGGAGTACCCGGCCTGGAGGGCTACCAGGGTCCCACCCTGGAGCCAGGCCTGGGGTTGGGGCCCGTGAGCGAGCGCCTGGTGGCCTGGGGTTGGCTTTTTGTTAGCCCCAAGACTCTCTGCCTGTGTGTTGGGGTTTACCCCGGGGGACGAGAGGGTAGCTTCCCTGCGCCTTCGGGTCGGGGAATGGGCCCTGACTGTTGTTTGTGCTAATGCGCCAATTATCAGTTCAGATTACCCACCCTTTTTGGAGTCCCTGGGACGAGTGCTAGATAGTGCTCCATCAAGGGACTCCATTGTCCTGCTGGGGGGACTTCAATGCTCACGTGGGCAATGACAGCATGACCTGGAGGGGTGTGATTGGGAGGAACGGCCCGCCTGATCTGAACTCGAGTGGTGTTTTGTTATTGGACTTCTGTGCAAGCCGCAGTTTGGCCATAACGAACACCGTGTTCGAACATAAGGATGCCCATCGGTACACTTGGTACCAGGGCAGCCTAGGTCGCAGGTCGATGGTAGACTTTGTAGTCGTATCATCTGACCTGCAGCCGTATGTTTTGGACACCCGAGTGAAGAGAGGAGCGGAGCTGTCAACTGATCACCACCTGGTGGTGAGTTGGTTCAGAAGGCAGGGGAAGATGCCTCGTAAACCTGGCAGACCCAAACGCATAGTGAGGGTCTGCTGGGAACGCTTGGCAGAAGAACCTGTCAAGACGGTCTTCAACTCCCACCTCTGGCAGAGCTTTGACCGCGTCCCGAGAGCAGTGGGGGACATTGACTCCGAGTGGGCCTTGTTCCACTCTGCAAGTGTTGAGGCGGCTGTTGCTAGCTGTGGTCGCAAGGTGGCTGGTGCCAGTTGTAGTGGCAACCCCCGTACCAGCTGGTGGACACCAGAGGTTTGGGGAGCCGTCAAGCTGAAGAAGGAGGCCTACAGGGCGTGGCTGGTCTGTGGGTCTCTGGAGGCAGCATACGGGTACCGGATATCCAAGCGGGGTGCAGCAGTGGCAGTTGCCGAGGCAAAATCTCGGGCGTGGGAGGAGTTTGGTGAGGCCATGGAGAAAGACTATCGATCGGCGCCAAAGAGGTTCTGGCTAACTGTCCGGCGCCTCAGGAGAGGGAGGCAGCAACTTGCTCACACTGTTTACAGTGGGAATGGGGAGCTGCTGATGTCAACTGGGGCTATAGTCGGACGGTGTAAGGAATACTTTGAGGAGCTCCTCAATCCCACCTACGCACATTCCGATGAGGAGCCAGAGTCTGTGTCTGTGGAACTGTGGACCAGCTCTATACCCTTGCAAGGATGATGGAGGGGGTATGGGAGTTTGCCCAACCAATCCACATGTGTTTTGTGGATTTGGAGAAGGCTTATGACCTTGTCCCCAGGGGCACCCCGTGGGGGACGCTCCAGGAGTATGGGGTGGGTGGCTTTTTGTTAAGGGCCATTCAGTCCCTTTACCAGAGGAGCGTGAGTTTGGTCCGCATAGCTGGTAGTAAGTCGGACCTGTTCCCAGTGAGGGTTGGACTCCGCCAGGGCTGCCCTTTGTCACCGGTTCTGTTCACAACCTTTATGGACAGAATTTCTAGGCGCAGCCGTGGTGTGGAGTGTGTCGAGTTTGGTTGCAGGAGAATCTCGTCTCTGCTTTTTGTGGATGATGTGGTCCTCCTAGCTACATCCAGCTCTGACCTTCAGCTCTTGCTGGGTAGGTTCGCGGCTGAGTGTGAAGCGGCTGGGATGAGGATCAGCACCTCCAAATCTGAGACCATGGTTCTCGACCAGGAAAGGGTGGCTTGCCAACTCCGGGTTGGGAGAGAGGTCCTACCTCAAGTAGAGGAGTTTAATTATCTCTGGTCTTGTTCACGAGTGAGGGTAGGAGGGATCGGGAAATTGACAGGCGGATTGGTTCGGCATCTGCAGTGAAGCGGACGCTGAGCCGATCTGTCGTGGTGAAGAGGTAGCTGAGCTAGAAAGCCAGGCTCTCGATTTACCGGTCGATCTACGTCCCAATCCTCACCTAGGGTCATGAGCTTTTGATAATGACCGAAAGAACGAGATCGCGGATACAAGCGGCCGAAATGAGTTTTCTCCGTAGGGTGGCCGGGCTCAGCCTTAGAGATAGGGTGAGGAGCTCAGACATTCGGGAGGGACTCGGAGTAGAACCGCTGCTCCTCCGGATCGAAAGGAGTCAGTTGAGGTGGTTTGGGCATCTGGTCAGGATGCCTCCTGGACACCTCCCTGGGGAGGTGTTTCGGGCATGTCCTGCTGGCAGGAGGCCCCTGGGTCAACCCAGGACACGTTGGAGAGGTTACATCTCCAATCTGGTCCGGGAACGCCTTGGGGTCCTGCCGGAAGAACAGGTGGAGGTGGCTGGGGAGGGGACGGTCTGGAGCTCCCTAGTTGGGACACTGCCCCCGCGACCCGGACCCGGATAAGCGGAGGAAGACGACGAAGACAATTAGAACTAATTAGTTTGAAGACACTTCCGATCTGTTTCTCACTGAGAGTGATGCCAGGTATCAAACCCACATTACAGTGTTTCTGCTCATTTCTAATTTCCAGATTACTGCAGTCACTGCAAACGTTGTCACTCGACAACAAATGTACATCAGCAGTGAGTGCAAATACATTGTAATAAATTCTGTTCTCACCTCCTAACGTTCTTCAGAACTAAGACAGCTGTAATCTGGGTCCACCGAAGAACCTCTAAGAGAACCTTTAAAACATCCTGATCACAGAGAATTACAAAATTCTGGTTTGGAAGTAAAATATGCTTGGACTAGTTTATTTGCACCACTGCATCTCTTATGGAGCTTTCTTCCTTGGTGACATGTTTATATGAGCGTAAAGGACAGAACATGGTCCAGAAGAACGTGAGGATCCTCACATGATTCCTGGGGAGCTCAGATCCAAATACCACAAACTTTCTGGTTTGACATTACCCATAAAATTAAGGCTCATCCAGGAGTTGGTAATCTGATTACCTGGCTGAATTAATCAGACTTCAGACATGGATAAGTGAGTATCAGTGAAGTGTACTAAAACCCAGAGGAACTCCAAAACGAGCTGTTGCAAGAAGATTCATTATTAACACAAACTGGATTCTATCAAATAAATTAAACTTTGACCATATTTCAGAGCAATTTCCTCAATCTCTTCACCTTTTGTGAGAGTTAGGCCTTCCTGGACCCACCATCCTATTTCAAGAACTTCAGTGTGAATGATCAAAGTTACCTCTACTTCACTCTGGAGGCATCAGTGGCTCAAAGTGGTCAACTCGAGAGCTTTGCTGCATGCCCGTACACACTGGTCTGCTGTCCTCCTCGCTGGACTCGCAGAATCCCTTCAGACTTCAAAGCTCACGGTGTGTTTATGCTGTCCGCCATTAAACCACAAAGAAGATCAGGTTTGGTATCGCTGTTTGATGTCATATATGATGTTGGTCTTCACTGCCAGGATCAAAGCTACAACATCAAAGTCCCATTGGTCATCACTCTCAACCATCCTTATGGGGAGCTGTGAGCTGCTGCAGTGGTTGTGCTCAGGAACTGTTTGGTGGTCTACAATAGAATAGAATAGAATAGAATAGAATAGAATAGAATAGAATAGAATAGAATAGAATAGAATAACAGTGATGTCAAAGCTAAAAAGCAGAACATTTTTTCTTTTTCTTGTTACATTGGAACTTCACCTTGTCCCATGATGAGTAGTCTCTGTCCCTCATTGAGAAGTCTCTGTCCCACGTTGAGTAGTCTCTGTCCCTCGTTGAGTAGAATCTGTCCCTCTTTGAGTAGTCTCTGTCCCTCTTTGAGTAGTCTCTGTCCGTCATTGAGTCTCTGTCCCTTGTTGAGTTGTCTCTGTCCCTCGTTGAGTAGTCTCTGTCCCTCATTGAGAAGTCTCTGTCCCACGTTGAGTAGTCTCTGTCCCTCGTTGAGCAGTCTCTGTCCCTCTTTGAGTAGTCTCTGTCCCTCTTTGAGTAGTCTCTGTCCCTCATTGAGTCTCTGTCCCTTGTTGAGTTGTCTCTGTCCCTCGTTGAGTAGTCTCTGTCCCATGTTGAGTAGTCTCTGTCCCTCGTTGCGTAGTCTCTGTCCCTCGTTGCGTAGTCTCTGTCCCACATTGAGTAGTCTCCGTCCCTCGTTGAGTAGTCTCTGTCCCATGTTGAGTAGTCTCTGTCCCACGTTGAGTAGTATCTGTCCCTTGTTGAGTAGTCTCTGTCCCATGTTGAGTAGTCTCTGTCCCATGTTGAGTAGCATCTGTCCCTCGTTGAGTAGTCTCTGTCCCACGTTGAGTAGTCTCTGTCCCTCGTTGAGTAGTCTCTGTCCCTCGTTGAGTAGTCTCTGTCCCACATTGAGTAGTCTCTTTCCCACGGTCAGTAGTCTCTGTCCCACGTTGAGTAGTCTCTTTCCCACGGTCAGTAGTCTCTGTCCCACGTTCAGTAGTCTCTTTCCCACGTTCAGAAGTCTCTGTCCCACGTTGAGTAGTCTCTGTCCCACGTTCAGTAGTTTCTGTCCCACATTGAGTAGTCTCTGTCCCTCGTTGAGTAGTCTCTGTCCCACATTCAGTAGTCTCTGCCACTCATTGAGTAGTCTCTGTCCTACGTTCAGTAGTCTGTCCCTCGTTGAGAAGTCTCTGTCCCACATTCAGTAGTCTCTTTCCCACGTTCAGTAGTCTCTGTCCCACGTTCAGTAGTCTCTGTCCCATGTTGAGTAGTCTCTGTCCCACGTTCAGTAGTCTCTTTCCCAGGTTCAGTAGTCTCTGTCCCACGTTGAGTAGTCTCTGTCCCACGTTCAGGAGTCTCTGTCCCACAATGAGTAGTCTCTGTCCCTCGTTGAGTAGTCTCTGTCCCTCGTTGAGTAGTCTCTGTCCCACATTCAGTAGTCTCTGTCACTCATTGAGTAGTCTCTGTCCCACGTTCAGTAGTCTGTCCCTCGTTGAGTAGTCTCTGTCCCATGTTGAGTAGTCTCTGTCCCTCGTTGAGTAGTCTCTGTCCCACGTTGAGTAGTCTCTGTCCCTCATTGAGTAGTCTCTGTCCCTCGTTGAGTAGTCTCTGTCCCACATTGAGTAGTCTCTTTCCCACGGTCAGTAGTCTCTGTCCCACGTTCAGTAGTCTCTTTCCCACGGTCAGTAGTCTCTGTCCCGTCTCTTTCCCACGTTCAGAAGTCTCTGTCCCACGTTGAGTAGTCTCTGTCCCACGTTCAGTAGTTTCTGTCCCACATTGAGTAGTCTCTGTCCCTCGTTGAGTAGTCTCTGTCCCTCGTTGAGTAGTCTCTGTCCCTCGTTGAGTAGTCTCTGTCCCACATTCAGTAGTCTCTGCCACTCATTGAGTAGTCTCTGTCCTACGTTCAGTAGTCTGTCCCTCGTTGAGTAGTCTCTGTCCCACATTCAGTAGTCTCTTTCCCACGTTCATTAGTCTCTGTCCCACGTTGAGTAGTCTCTGTCCCACGTTCAGTAGTCTCTGTCCCACGTTCAGTAGTCTCTTTCCCACGGTCAGTAGTCTCTGTCCCACGTTCAGTAGTCTCTTTCCCAGGTTCAGTAGTCTCTGTCCCACGTTGAGTAGTCTCTGTCCCACGTTCAGGAGTCTCTGTCCCACATTGAGTAGTCTCTGTCCCTCGTTGAGTAGTCTCTGTCCCTCGTTGAGTAGTCTCTGTCCCACATTCAGTAGTCTCTGTCACTCATTGAGTAGTCTCTGTCCCACGTTCAGTAGTCTGTCCCTCGTTGAGTAGTCTCTGTCCCACGTTGAGTAGTCTCTTTCCCACGTTGAGTAGTCTCTGTCCCATGTTGAGTAGTCTCTGTCCCACGTTCAGAAGTCTCTGTCCCACATTGAGTAGTCTCTGTCCCTCGTTGAGTAGTCTCTGTCCCACGTTGAGTAGTCTCTGTCCCACGTTGAGTAGTCTCTGTCCCACGTTGAGTAGTCTCTGTCCCACGTTGAGTAGTCTCTGTCCCACGTTTAGTAGTCTCTGTCCCACGTTGAGTAGTCTGTCCCTCATTGAGTAGTCTCTGTCCCTTGTTGAGTAGTCTCTGTCCCTCGTTGCGTAGTCTCTGTCCTACATTGAGTAGTCTCTGTCCCTCGTTGAGTAGTCTCTGTCCCTCGTTGAGGAGTCTCTGTCCCATGTTAGATGAGCTGGGATCTGGTCACCCTAGCGGGAAACGGTGACGTTCCGCTGCCGTTCTGTACTGCTGGTGCTTCCAGTGTGAAGTGGGGTTAGACCACGTTATATAATGTCTTGTAGAACACTGAAATAAGGTTTTAGAGTAAAAACACCCGTCCACTACCTGGACCAGTAAAATATATTTGTTGTTTTATGATGATTAAGGTGTTTTTTCATGTTCCTCTCCCCACCCCCACCCTCCACACACCCCCAGGGAGCCATTCTCACCACCATGTTGGCCACAAGGAACTTTTCTGGTAAGATCTTCAGACTTATTTCACACTCCACATCATCACAGGTTCCATGTGTAGATCAAATGGTTGGTTTTGATCTGTTAAAGGATCATAAGCAAGAACTTTTAGTCTCAGTCATGCTGGAAGGAAGTTACATCGTAACAGCTTGGCCTGTATTTGATAGTTTACACTATGTCAGCCTGTGAGGAGGGTGGCTAGCTTTCACAAATAAAAATAAAGGACACCATGACCATCATGTAATGGGAGCCACGGCAGTGGTAGGTTGTATTTTTCTCTGTGTGTCACCATCAGTGTTGGGAGTATTATTTTTTAGGTAACAGAGTAATCTAATGATTACTTTTCCCATCGCTGCAACGCCTCTAGCGTTACTGGGCATGTAAAGTGGTGCACTATGTGGTTGACTGAAGAGGTGTCAGGCGATCCGGTGTTACAAACAGCAAAAAGGAAAACACACATGCATCCAGCACAGTGCTGCACACTTATCTCCAATCACTATGAAAGCATGGAGGGGGTGGCGAGTGCTAAATGCCTGGGACAATTATTACATTGACACGAGGGACCTGTAAATATTGGTGGGGACACATCTGTAAAAGAGGAGGATAGAAATTTAATTCTGTCTGATGATAGATTTCCCACAGTTAGACAAGTGGAAACATTTTTGTCTCTGTGTCAAATTTTTATAGTCTTGTTTTCCTGGATTAACCCAAGTTCCTAGTTTCATCATCAATCCAATGTTAAACGGTCAATAATATTGATGATCCATATTTTATGGAATATTACATTTTATTGAATACCTTTTTATTCTCTTGACAATCTATTAAAAGTAACCACCGCCTCGTTACATCAGGAGTGTTTCTCAATGTCAAGGCGCCTTGCCTTGCGAGGCGATGTCTTGCGAGGCCAGGCGCCTTGCCTACGAGGACACTGTCCTTCCTCGGTCAAAGAAAACGGTTAAATGGAACAGACTTGCATCACGTGACACGGGAGATAATGTTATATTTTATATGTATTAGTTTCAATATAAATATATAACGAGCCTTTTACTTTTTAAATTGTGTATATGTTTATTAAATTAAAAATATAAGTGAGTTACTACCCGCTGGCCACCGAAGCTGCAACTACTAAGCAACTAACCAACAACAGATAACTTCTTTGGATCTAAAAAAAACATTTGAAATTAGCTGACTTACTTTTTGACTTGAAAATTGACCCCGAAGTAGCTGCCAGCTTCTGATCCGCCATCTTTTTGAAAATACTGCCGTGTGTTGTGGGTAATTTTTGACCAAGGCTAGGCTACAAGACACCTCCCGTGTGGCCTTGCTCAGCTAGCTAAACAGCTTATAAATGGAGAACACACACCTCGGTAGAACATGAACATTGGAACCGATTGGAACACGTCTTGGCGGCTCCTGATGACGTATCTCCTAGGCAACCGGAGCGGGGCCAAGACACCAAGGCGAGGTTCCTTGACATTGAGAAACACCCCAGCTGTACTGCTTTAGGTGTAGCCTAGCATAAAACACAGTAGGTGAATAGATCCAAATAGCATTGTGAGTAAAAACGTCCTTAAAATCACTCGGCAGTGATCGCAGTTCTGCTTTGTGACCTAAATAATCAGTAGGACTGTAGGTGAAAATAAATAGTAACAAAGTAATCACAAGCACCATTTTAGACTTGGGACTACTTAATGACAAAGTACAGCAATTCAATTCAGGTTTTTTCCTATAACACCAAATCAGGACAAGAGTTGTCTCAAGGACCTTCACACAGTAAAACGTTTTCTGTATAAGGAACCCAGCAGGTTGCATCAAGTCACTGACTAGTGTCAGAGTCTTTACAGCAATCCTCTTACTAAGCATGCATGCAGTGACAGTAGAGAGGAAAACCCCCTTTTAACAGGAAGAAACCTCCAGAGGATCCTGGCTCAGTATAAGCAGCCATCCACCATGACTCGCACACACACACGCGCACGCGCACACGCACACGCACACACACTCTCTAACCACGGACTCAAATGTTAATGTGATCATGAGCTCGGATTTTAAAATCCATTCAGCTGATGTGAAGCAGGCAGAGAAAAACTCTGAGGTAGA